AATCAATCAAATAATTTTCAAGGATTTTTGGCATTAAGTCAATATTACACCAAATAGTATAACAGTATTCTAGAAAATAAACATCTGGCTATTAAAATGTTAAATATTTTACTAAAGAAATATGATTAAAGTCAATTGTACATGCTTGTATACATTCATATACTTAATTACATTAATTTTAAACATTATATAATTAAATGTTCAAGTGCATAAATCAATTATTTCAATAAATTTTGCTGTAAGAAGTAGCGCATTAAAAGGTCATCGCAGAGTAATATAAATATTTTAAAAGAATTTTCAATTATCTTTACATATACGTGTACATATTTGGAAATTAAAAACAAAACAAATATTTAAATTTTTTTAACTAATTTCATAATTTATTTAGGAAGTTGTTAAAAAACTTTATTTGAACTGAATATAAAATATGTTGAAAAAATCATAAAATGAGAAAATAATTCACATAATCTTATTCGTTTAACATGTGATTAAAGATAAAATTTCACACTTTTCTAAATATGATTGTTATGACTAGAGGACAGGTGCGACTGGTTGAATGAATTTTTTTTTTCGTTTTTTGGTTTTTCCCAAAAAAAGGTCATATTTAAAAATTTAGCACTCTATATAGTATACCTACTCTATAAGTAAAAAACTCACAAAAAAAAGTTTATGATTCTTTGATTAATGAAATTTCTACATGAAGACATAATTTTAAGAGTATTGGAATTTAGAATAAGAATGTCATTACTGCTCAAATCTGATTTTCCAATAGAGACATAAATTAAAGTTTTTTTTTTTTGTGAAATGTGATAAAATGAAACACAAATTAAAGGAAAAGATATTAAAACCAGGAGGAAAATTTAAACTATTTAAGAAGGTTTTTATATAACAGAATTCTCACGGGCTAAAAAATATTGTAAGATAAGATTATTGAGCCTTAATTTAATTGTCACGTTATTTATATGACAATTTGTCGTTATCTCTGTCACACCGTTTGGAATGTGATATTCCACTTTCTATAATGTAAGAAATGAAACGATTTTAGTTCAAAATAAAAAAAAAATTAAAGTATATAAACATATTTATATTTTTGATTAAAAAATCTCTTCATTTGGATTTCGGTTTACGGATTCCATCATATTCCATTCCAATAGTGATGAAATTGAAAAAAAACTCAAAATTTAGTGATCAAAAGATTTAACATTAGGGACAGTTCTTCCGTTAACTGGTTCCACTTGGCGTCAATTTAGAAAATACTTATGCAAAGAAAAAATTAATTGTATATGCGGATTAATTTATGTATTAAATCATAAAGTTTACTAATTTATTATCTTATACAATTTCACTAAATTTTTTGTTTAAACTTACATTTTTCATGTATCTGTCTTGCTTGTAACGACATTTGTCGCTCTACTTCGACTGAGGCTCATTATTTTGAATTTCAAAATCTTTTCTTCAATTAACTTCATCCTTATACCACATTTTTATTTTTAATTAATTTTACGGTAAATTTGCAGTTATAACACTTTCATACTAGACCTATTATAGTACATAAATATCTATTATACCGTATATGTTTAACTCTTTTTTAAATTTATTATTTAAAATTAAATATGGTTATAATAAATTTAAAAAAACAAGAAAAAAAAAAATTTCATATTAAAAAATTTATTTATTGCCACTATGGATTGCTCATATAATGAGATTTATTTTTAAATTTGGATATTTCTTTAATAATATATTTCCCATTTCCTTTTCCGTAATAAGAATGAGCGACTTTTTTTTTCATTTTTGAATTTTCAATTTTATATTCTATAAATATCATATGTCAACTAACTTTTTATTACGATGTTGTGTTTTGACTGAAAAGATTAAATTGATTTAACTATCTAAGTATATAGAAAATTAATTTTGTCTCGTTATAATAAATTTCATATTGTTTTAATTTTTATACTTGAATTAAAATTTACATACTTATATTGGACAAAAAATTTGTACTCGTAGTAAAAACCATGAATGAAATTTGAATCTGGAAATTTTATGAATAATTTTTTTTTATAAAGTTAATCTATTATTACAAATTAATAATATTCATAAAATAACCTTATATAACAGTTTTATTTTTTTTGGTCAATGATTTTACGGTATTCATAGTAAATTCATATTGATGCGATTTCATGTTTTATTTAACACTTAATGTAATTTATACTCGTATCTTAGTCTTTATATATGTTATAAATAGCTTTTTAAATAAAATTATTGTTATATAATTATAAATACAATTGTTATTGTTATATAATTATAAATTTATAGTAGCACATAAATGAATTCGTATAATAAGAATTATATTTTAGAGTCAATACTTTTATTTATTCTAACAATGTGATCAAATAATAATGAAGGGATACTTAAGTGTATAACACGAACGACCTTAAAAATATCGTATCTTTTGATCCGGCGTAAAATTAGCCAATATTTCATCTACTAATTACCTAGTTTATCAATTTTATTTTGTTATTTATTTATTTCTTTTGTTTACAAAATATTGAACCCATTTTTAACGACCGTATACTATAAGGCATACTATATAATTAAGCATATAATTATGTGATGGCACCAAAGTTCGCATGTTGAGTTTTCGGTGGAAATACACCTCTCTATGGTAGGGAAGCATAAATAAATTATTTTTAGAAAGATTTTTGTGACTCTGGATTTCTGTTGGTCTGTCTGCCAGTTTATCTGTGTAAATCAGTATCTCAAATGCAGTTGAGCTTTATATATATATGTGTTTTCTTTGAGGATGAAACTTCGGGATATATTCTAAGCATACTTAGATTTTGCGTTTTTACCAATTTTTAAGAAAATAATCAGCGGATTTTCCTAAAATTTTTAAGTTAGTCCGGAATTCTAAAACAGAATCGAAAACAATAACTAAATGTTTATTTTTTTTTTTAACTTTTTCGTTTTTCGTGATTATAAAACTTTTAAAACTACGTTAAATCATGTCATTACCCTCTCCCAGCAATTTAACAAAAAAAAAAACATACCGAAAAAATTATCTTTATTTTTTTTTATATATTTTTGTTTTTTTAGATGCCAGCGCTAATAAATAAACAAAAATCAAAAGCACAAAAAAAAAATTATATTTTTGGAAAGAATAAAATTAAATAATTTTTAATTAACAAAAAATTTATTTTTAGGCTTTTTGTCTCAATTAAAATTTCCCAAATATTTAAGATTTGTAGGAATTAAATATGCAAAAAAGTTCAATATAAAACGTAGTTTTGCTTTATAAATATAAACAAAGTTGTTGTTTTCATAATAACTTTTAAATACCAGTTAATTGTTAATGGAAATTTTTTCTCAAAATAATTCTAATGGAGATGATCAAATTTGATTATTTATTAGATTTATATTTACTGATTTTTTATAAGAATTGCGTTCTATAATTTAATTTAAACGGAATGAATTTATTATATGGATAAATGAAGATGAATAATTAAAATTGTTAAAAAAAAAACAGAACTTGTTAAGACTACAATATCATGTCTTACTTGATATTAACAACTTTTGATCATAATCGTCTAATGTAATTCAACTACGTATTTATTTATCTCAAATGAACTAAATCGCTCATGTAGAGTAAATAATAACAAAAATTTATAAATGCAACAACAATTAAGTGTAATTCAAAAAAGGATTATGTAATTTCAAAAAATATAATAAATAATTTATTGGAGACTGAAATTTAGAGAAAATAATTTGTTTAATATTTTTTCAGTTGATGTTTAGCTGTTTGCACTTGATATCGATTTGATTTCATTCGGTAATATTTTTATCGCAAGATTAATATTGTTGTCATGACGATTAAATCGAATGTTTGATGCAACAATTCTGATATTCTGAGCAGGTCACAGATACCATACCTGTATACTTCACATATAAAACATTTTCAAAATTCTATTAGTATTATTTGTGAACATGGAAATTGAATACCCCAATTAAATAATTCTTTTCTAACAGTCTTTAATTTTAATGCAATTAAAAACTTTCACCTATGAAAATATTTATAACTTAATTAACCTAATTTACCTAGTTTATAATTTTTATTAATGCAATATTCCGTGTTATTTTAATTTATTTATAAAATTTTGTAAGTATATTAATATATTCTGGCTCAGATTTCTTTAAAATAATTTTCCTCCTACTGGAATTCAATTTCTTTTTTTTTATTCCTATTAAATTTATTATTCATTTTTTTTTTTTGCAGTGAATTACCTGTGATTTTTTTTATTTATTTTGTGTCACAATATTAATTTTTTGTTTTAATATTGTTATACACAAGGAAAAATTATAGTTGAATGTATGTATATTTGATCTCCAGGAAATTTGTGAGCAATATAAGTAAAATTGGGTATAATAAATAATAAGAATGATTTCGTATAATGACAAAAAAAAATAAAAACTAATTATCTTGGGGGAATATGATAAAAAAAAAAAAACTTTTCCATGAAAATTTTACACGCCCACATTTTGTATCCTCTTTAAAATTGTTGAAAATCTTTGTTGACGGACCAAGGTAACAAAAAAATATGGCTATGAAAAATTATAATTTTTAATAAAGTTTTGTTTTTGCAATTTTTGTATTAACACATTCATATACATACACACATATATTTTAGCATATATATATATATATATATATATGTATGTACATAAAATATATATGATATAAAGTCATAACAAAAGAATTCGTTTAATAGATTTGAAGATGATTCGAAAATGATCTTTCACTAAGATAATCTTTGTTTGTTTCTTCTAAGATGATCTTCGCCTTTGTTGGTATTGATGATAATCAAAATCTCACTTAGTTATACCTGACAATACAAAATATCTAATATACTAAAATGTACTAAAATTTTTTTTGAAAAAATTTAATTTTATAACAATAACTGATAACAATATATTAATATAAATTTATTTTTTTCATTTAATTTTAGAAATGCTTGCTTGGCCGCTCTCAGCCTGAGGTATCGATGTTATTAACAGTTAAGACTGGTGGAGCAACTCCATTAGTAATTGCCTGTCGTTACGGTCATTATGATATTGTAGAATATTTAATAACAAAATGTGGCTGTAATGTTGAAAGAGTCGGTTCAGTAACATTTGATGGTGAAACAATTGAAGATGCACCACCATTATGGTGTGCGAGCGCAGCGGGACATTTAAATATTGTGAAATTATTAGTTAAACATGGTGCTAATGTTAACAGTACAACAAAAACAAATTCAACTCCATTGAGAGCTGCATGTTTTGATGGTCATTTTGAAATTGTAAAATATTTAATTAAAAAGGGTGCTGGTAAGAAGATAAAATTTATAAAAATTTAATTTTATAATTTACATACCTAAAATGAAAAACAAAAATTATTCATTTATTGAATTAACACTGATTTTCTTTTAATTTTAGATTTTGAAATAGCAAATCGCCACGGTCACACATGTCTAATGATAGCGTGCTATAAGGGTAATTACAAAATTGCTCAATATTTATTAAGTTTAAAAGCAGATGTCAATAGAAGAAGTGTCAAAGGTAATACAGCACTACATGATTGCGCTGAATCTGGATCTTTAGAAATTTTACAATTATTATTACAACATGGTGCTACAATGGACGTTGATTCATACGGTATGACACCATTAATAGCGGCTAGTGTTACAGGTCATTTGCCAATTGTCGAACATATAATTGGTTTACCAGAAATTAAGAGAGAAGATCGTATAGCAGCTTTAGAATTACTTGGAGCAACATTTGTCGATAAAAAACGTGATATGATACATGCTATATCATTATGGAAACGTGCCATGGAAGATCGTTATAATAATGAACCAGAATTGCCAAAAATTGTTAATGAACCTATAGCTGCATATGATTATGCTCGTGAAGTAACAAGCATTCAAGCATTAGATGATTTATTAATGGATCCAGATGCTATGAGAATGCAAGCTTTAGTTATACGAGAACGAATACTAGGACCGGCGCATCCTGATACAAGTTACTATATTAGATTTAGGTATACTTTAACAAAAATACTTCCTATTTCAAAAAATAATAGTAATTTAATTTCAATTGTAATGTATTTTTTTTTTAGAGGAGCACATTACGCTGATGCCGGTCGATTTGATCGGTGTATAGAATTGTGGACTTATGCTGTTACTATGCAACAGAATATACTTGAACCTTTAAGCCCAATGACACAATCATCATTTTTATCATTCGCTGAATTATTTAGTTTTATGTTAGGAGAAGCTGGTCGAGCCATGACTAGGGGTCGAGTTGTACCACCTATTGAAACAAATGATATGCTTATGATTTTTAATAAATCAGTTAAAGAATTAGAATTAGGTATTCATTGTAATAATCTAAATTATGTTTTAAGTCATGTTTATTTTAATGTTGTTTATTTATATTTTTAGGTCAAAAAATGTTTCAAAGTTTGCCAGAATCTGAAAAGGACTCAAATTTACTTAGTCGTGCTCTAGTAAGCTCATTACATTTGGCTTGTTTATTAGCACGTTTAGTTGTTGAAGAAGATTGCTGTGAAGTGATAAAAAAACGTATATTAACAGCATTATATAAATTAAATAATTTAAAAGTTGTGATACGATCTGGTCGTACAGCATTACATTTAGCTTGTTATCGTGGAGCTTCTCTTGGACGTTATCCACCATGTCAATTTCCGTCCACACATTTAACAAAAGCATTATTAATGGTTGGAGCAGATCCAAACGCTCGTGATGAAGATGGTAATACACCTTTACATTTAGCTGCTATATCAAATCCTTGTCGACCAGAATTAGCAAAAATTTTAATAGAATATGGCGCACATTTGGTAAGTAATTAACATTTTTAAATTTGGAGCAACAAATTATAACGATCTGTGCCTATATGAAATATAAACTTGATTTTCTTACCTTTATGTTTTTAGTGATCTCAGTCGTATATCCAAATATAACATTTAATAAATTTTAACTTAATTAATTAAAATTTTAACTTAATACTTAATATTTTATTGTTTAAAGTTACGGAACCAGAATGAATTTCCAACAAAATTTTATTTTTCTGATAGTTTATTAATAAATTATAAAAAATTAGCAAATTGGGGATTGAAAAGTCTAACTCTTAAAATAGTTTTTTCACATTTTAAATTGTTGTTTCTATTATATCACATTTTTTCATTTCGTAAGTTCACAAATTGTAAATCCAAATTTGATGCAATGCAACGAAATGTAATATGATGGAAAAATTTTTGCCGGTAAAAAGTGTGGAATAGTTTCAAAGGGTTGTTGTAACGTAATCAAAATGAGATTTCTTTAAAATTTTAGCGCTATTAGATGATTTAATTGTAAAAACCTAATTTTTTTTCAAAATCTGGTATATATAAATTATTGTAAGTCATTACAATTATAGCGTATGCTCTGGAAAAATAATTATAATACATTAAGATGGTGACAAATGTAAAATTACATTTTTGTTTTGATGATTTTGAATAATAATATCAATGTAAAATTGTCGTACTCTTGATTTTATAGTAAGATCTCTAATAAATTTGGAGTCGCTTTAGAATTATAATGCCAATATTTAATATTTCTAAAATTTTGCCGATTTAAAAATAATTATTTTAAACATTTTAATAAAGAAATTAAATTATGTACACGTAAAATTTACAATCAAATCACCAATCGTAAATTCTAAGGAAATTTGATAGCAATACTAGGCTAAGAAATTAAAAAGCTTAACGTGTTCTTTTTATTTTTATCAAAAATTAAGAATCGATATGAATATTATTCAAACACGTATGCAATTTAAGCGTTTTTTAACATTATGTACAAAAACGTGAATTTGATAAGACCATTTTCTTAATAGATTTAATCGATTATATTAGAAAGCACTTTTTTTATAATCTCCTTTACGTGGGATTTCCAATTTCGTATTTGTACCATGTATGTGTATTGGTTGCTCTCCATTGTGTTCGGTCTTTTATTGTAAAAAGAAACGAATAATTCAAGTTTATATTTTGAATTAAAAATACACACAAACACAGAACTCAATTAAAAAGTATAGTAAATCTCTTAAATAAAATGTAACAATTTTAAAAATTCTAAAGAGTTCAATAATTCTATAACATCTTTGCTCCCACTTTAAAGTTTAAGAAGTCATTGTATATTTTTACTTTATTTCCTGCTTCAACTATACGCCCACAATCAATGAAACTTTTTTTCAAATCATACAATTTTTAAATTTTTTCACAAAGTTGTTGGAGTAGATAATTGATATCTTCCATTTAATTAGATTTTTTTTTCTCTAAATTAAAAATGTAAATATTTTTCCATATCGATTTGATAAAAAAGGAGTAAAATCATGGAGTATTGCGTTTTCCAAATGAAAAACTGGTCAAAAAATTAAAATTTTAGAGCCAGTTATCAACCAAAGGTGCAGATTATACACATATTTCGAAAGCTATTGAGTGGATTTTTAATAGAACTAAATAAGAAAAAGTGAGTGAAGATGACTAAAAGTATCTTCTTGTCAATGTTTCAAAAATACATATCTTTGGCTTATTTCTTCTTAAAGAATTCGTAGGTACATAATATAATATTTTGCTAAATTTTTTTACTTTGTTACTTCGACAGTAAATATTTTTGGATTTAAAAGAATTTTTTTTTGAAATCTTTCTGTAGTATAGTTCGATAAATCTTAGTATAGACTTTTTCGACAATATACATATAAGTAAATTTACACTATGTTTTGCTCAAGAGTTTGAAACAAATGTTGGTTTCAGAAAATGGTTTCCAAATCGACTAAAATACAGTTACTGCTCGGATTGTTTGCACGATGACTATCATATGATGCCGAATGTCTTATCGTCATCTGAGTTCAATTTAGATCCAGAAGCCAATTTTGTCATTTTAAACTTAAGAATACTTTCCCGGGCTTTCGGGGAGTATCTTTCAGAATATGCAATGCGTTTTTCCTTATTTCATTCAGTTTCATATAATTATATTCTATTTTTATTTCAATTTTGAACGCATTTACATAATTTAATAGTACCATAAAATTAACTTTTATGAATACATAGTAACGTAGATTTCTCTACATACTAATTTAAAGAATATTATTTGAAATTTAATTATAATCTAATAAGTAAAAATTCAAAATAGTAACAATCACTCTTATTTATGTTATACAACAATTTTGGTTTATACAACAGTATAATTTTAGAGCGACAATATTTTATCAAAAAATGAAGAAGAGAACAAATGAGCTGAATACAATTAACTTATATATTTATGTTATAATAAACTATATATGGTAGTTTATAAGTAACGTATATGACAGTTTATTTTCTCGCAATTGTATTTTCATGTGAATTTTAGTATTTATAGGTAGGTTTAAATATGCTTTGAAGCTTATAATGTGAGTGCAGGCATTATGTACATAATATATATGCATATCATTTATGCATATATATTATATATATGTATATTTAATTTTTTTCGTTTCTACTTTGCAACTTGCAACAATTTCGTTTTCAGTATTTCAACTTTTAATTTTCTCATTTTACATTTTGTTGATTTTTATCGTTTTAATGCTCTATTAAAATTTTAAAACTACATAATATGAAAGTATATATCATGCTTTTCTCAGCAATTTGTCTATAATTTATATATATAAATAAATATATACAAAAATATTTATAATTATTCTATTGCAATTTTGTGAAGCCATAAGACGATCTCATTACAATTTAGAACAAGGAAATTCAAATGAAAAAACTATTCAAGCCGAATTTAATGTTAATGATTATATACACAAATGATTGTTTGAATATGAATGGTTAAATAAACGATAATATTATTGCACTATGCATAAACATAGATCAAAAAAATATAGGTACATGTATATAAGTTTTAATGTTAAGGATTAATCTTTGACATTTTCATATGCATATGTGTGTACGTGAGAAGCAACAATTTATGTTAGTAAAACCATGAAATGTATGCAACGTGATCCGGTAAAATGTGCAAAAAAATTATTTAATCATTTCCTTAATGTTATGATAATTTACGAAAAATTGTGTTAAAATTGAAAATTAAATCTAAAATGGATTATAAAGAGTAGAGTTGGAATATACAAATTTTGTTCTCTTTAATTATTAATGAGGTTAATTAAAATATTTAATATATTTTAATTTTTTAAAATTATTCATTCATTTAGCTGAATGCATATTGTGATTAATATTGTTTTTGACTAATTCATTGATTCATTAGTGATTCATATTAAATATTCTGAAGAATATTATATAATAGTAGTTAAAATATTTAAAATACATACATATTTACATTTATATACATACATATTTTGTATTTATATATTTTCTTAAAACAATATTATAAAGTTTTGTTCTCATTATTGTTTCATTTATAAAAAAAATATTTAAATTTTAAAGCGTAAATTTAATTTAAAATTAAAATTTAAAAAATGAATCATCATAATTTTTATTGAATATATTATTAAATTCAAGTTTTCCCGCTCAAAATAGTTCAATGATTGATATTTTTACTCATATCCATATTTTCTACTTTTTTTTTTGTGTTAAATTTGAAAAGATGATTTAATAACTTAAAAAATGTATGTATATCCATGTACGTATGTATGTTTGACGATATGCAAATAAAAAACTTAAGAAAACATTGAAATCAAGTAAGACATGTCATACTTAATTTCTATAGAAAAAAAAAATTTAAATAGTTTTCGATCGATAAAAACAAAAAATAAATTTAATTGTACGTGTGAATTTTTGTTCGATTCATCATTGAACAAAAGTCTTCGAACACAAACGCTTTATTCTACAATATAATATATATGTAGTCTACAACGATAAAGTTATTTATGTACGTGCATAGTTGAAATAAAGTTATAATTTACCTGTAAATATTAAGTATGTATGTATATGTTTGTATGTAATATTATAATAAAGAAATAAAAATAATGAGTTTCATAGGACTATATTTGCCTCGTTACAAAAAATTGAAGAAAAAGAAATATACAGTATGTCAAATCCGTATTCGTACACCTCGTTTTTTTTTAAGTTCTCTTTAAATTTTGAGTGAAAAATTAAATTATGCTCAAAAAACGCAGTTTTTATAAAATAATATTAAAAATAATTTATTTTAAACAAAACAACAATTAATTTAATTTATTAACAAAAACAAAAATAAAATATAAAAATTTTCGGTGATGTCAAATTCGTATTCGTACACTTTTAGTTTTTCATGTGAACCACTTCCATCACTTAAAATTTTTGGCCGAATCCGTTAAAACGGTAAAATTGTTCCACAAAAAAAAGGTTTTTCCCTTTTATGCTTCACTTTCTCTGAATTGTTTGTATTATTCATTTAGTTTTTATGCGTAACTGCCAAAATGGGTCGAAAATCTAGTGAGTTGTCGAACTCTAATAGAAAATTAATAGTTTCTTTATTTAATGAAGGACGTTCGTACAGGGAAATAGCAGAAATTTTTAAAAGAAGCCACTCTACTATTCAGTACGTAATAAAAAAATATAAAGCTGAAGGAATTTCTGAAAAATCTAAGCGTAATAAAAAAAGATGTTTACTCAGTTCGCGCCATATTAGATTTATTACCCGAGAAATTCGAAAGGATCCGTTTATCAGTGCACCGAACCTAACTAATATGCTCAGAAAATACTATGGACTCATAGTTTGTGCACAAACAGTACGTAATGCAATCAAAAATCGCAATTTTTCAAGTAGAATTGCATCAAGGAAGCCTTTTATTAGTAAAACCAATAGGTTAAAGCGTTTGTCATTTGCAAAAATGTATAAAAAAAAGAAATTTGGGTTTTGGAAGAAGGTTATATTTACTGATGAATGTAAATTTAACTTAAAAACATCCGATGGAAAGGTAAAAATATGGAGAGAAAAAAATACAAGATTGCATCCAAGAAATATGTTACCAACTTTCAAACACGGAGGGGGCTCTGTGATGGCATGGGGTTGTTTCAGTGCAGCAGGAGTAGGGAAATTAGTATTTATTGATGGAATTATGAATTCTACAAAATATATTAACATTTTAAAGAAAAATTTAAAAAAAAGTGCGAAGAAAATGGGTCTGAAAAAGAAGTTCATCTTTCAACAGGATAATGACCCAAAGCACACAGCGTTAAATACCAGACTTTGGCTTTTGTATAACTGCCCCCGCTACCTTAAAACGCCACCACAGAGCCCTGACGTGAATCCTATAGAGAACCTATGGTCCATTTTCAAAAAAAAGCTCAAAAATTACAATATTAGAAACCCAAAAGACTTAAAAGAAGCCTTAAAAGCTGAATGGCGCAAAATTCCAACAAGTTTGACTACAAATCTTGTAAAATCAATGCCACGTCGTCTTGAAGCAATCGTACAGAGTAAAGGACACGCCACAAAATATTAGAAAAAAGTTTGAGACTGAAAGGATTACGAATTTATGAAAGTTGAATGATGTACGAATACGAATTTGACACCACCGAAAATTTTTATGTTTTATTTTTGTTTTTGTTAATAAAATGAATTGATTGTTGTTTTGTTTAAAATAAATAATTTTTAATATTATTTTATAAAAACTGCGTTTTTTGAGCATAATTTAATTTTTCACTCAAAATTTAAAGAGAACTTAAAAAAAAACGAGGTGTACGAATACGGATTTGACATACTGTATGTAAAAATACAACAAAGAAATTAAAAAAAAAATAGTAAAAACATTGTGTTTCTTAAAACTAAAGGACAATTCAATCCAAATTTAATAATATTTGATTTAATAAATAAAAACTAGCGACTACCAAATCACCTATAAGTTATGTACATAATTTTTGTTTTAAGCATTTCCAAAATGACTCCAATAATTTCCTCTTTTAATTTTTTAGTTACAGTGTTGAAAATATTGTTTTTTAACTTAAATTTTTGCACAGAAGTCTCATTGTCACATAACGTCCTCATTATAGTAGTTACTTCGTTTATATGTCAAATACAGTACCTGTCAAATACTTAAAATAATCTTAAAACTCAAATTGCGTTTTCAATATGTCTATTTGAAAGTCCGAAAATTTACTTTAGTTATTGCATGTCAAGTCAAGTAAGCAAAATTTTTTGATACACTTGATTCAAACCGGTTTTAAGTCAAGTAATGTAGACCGGAGTAATAAAAAGCAATGTGTATTAAATATTTCCTATTTACTTTACGAAATTTATATTTTTGCCATTTGGCAAAATGTTAGTAATTCTTAAAGCAAAATATACTTTTCTTTGTTTTTATTTTTTTAATGTTTCGAATTTTTAATGTAAGAAACCTTTTTTCACACTCCATATTTTTATGAGACGACATAGAATTTTTTTTTTTCAAAATTCTTATCAAAAAACTGTTATAAAAGTAACTGTCAAACATAATACCACATAAAAAATATTATAAATTACATATTTCATTAGTTTTATGCGTGTATTTTTAAAATGTATAGAAACATTATTTATCCGAAACCAGTTTAAGTTTTATTCTTATACATACATACATATACCTCTATTCTTCATACATAGAATATTTTTATGTAGCATATAAAAAATGTACACCCTTGTACCTATCATAAAAAAGGCCGCAAAAACATTTTGTGATGATTTAATACATCGTGTTTTAAAAAAAGTATAAGACTATTTCAATTTGAAATACTTTGGGTTTTTATACTTTACTGAGTTACTGATTAGGTTACTAATTGTAATTACAAAATTCGTATAAAAAATTTTCAAAAAATTTTTTTTTTGAAAATCTGAAAAGTTTGTGAAGTATTTCTGCACAATACAGTTATAAATTTACAATTTAGGCCTATAGAACAATACATTTTATACCTATAAAACATATTAATGAAATTCAAAGTGAAGCACTTAGAAAATTATTTAAAATTTTTATTAAATAAAAAATTCAGATTTAATATGCGCCTACCAAAAAAGAAATTCAGTGATAAATTAACTTAAAAAATTATAAAAGAAAAGTAAATACGTCATGTAAAGTTCATTTATAAAGTGAAAAAAGAAATCATTTAAAAATGTCATCAATATTTAAAATTTATATTTCTTATGTTTTATTTTAAAATGCTTTATTCTCACGAAAGTCACGGTCTTATATAAGTTTTCTTGAAATAACCCGTAATACTCAATTTTAATAAAGCCAAAATATTATTTCTTTGTTTGACGTATTTTTTAAATAACATATAATAATATTTTGTTCGATTAATAACTCATATACATACAGTCTTTCTTTATAGCATTGTATATATTGGTATAATAGACTAATTTGTAAAATATATTAATTTTTCACTTTTTTTAATAATATTTTTCTGCAAACCAAAGAAATTTTCAATGTTATTTATTTAATAAAATATTTATTTTTCATTTCATATAACCATTTTCTACGTCATTAAATTAAAAAAAAGAACTGAAAATATGCCCACCTACGCTTATTAATTCAATATGTTGTTGTTTACCTTTACATATACTGTATAAAAAATATTCAAGTATGAATATATGTATATATTCCTTAGTTTTTTAAATTAGACATATACATATATATATGTATATAACATAATATATTCTTTAAAAATTGGAAATTATTATTTAATTATTATATTTATTATTATTTAATAGCACTATGAATAATTATTAAAATAGTTATTAAAATTAAATTAAAATATACAATTTAATATTTAAAAATTTATTTTGATTAAAATCATGCGACACAAAATGATTTAATTTTATCTGATTTTAATATACGCAATATTTATATGTAAGGGAAGTTGATGATCTTACATTATAAAAAGTGGCACGATTTTTATTAAGACTATTCATAAACGCAGTATATCACGATATATACAGAAAACTGTGCTCCATTTATATTCATAAACATACATATATATGTTAATTATCACAATGCAACAAGATTATTGTGAGTAACGCAGTTAAATTTTATGAATTGTTTTGATTTTATAGAAGTAAATGTACTGTTATTATTGATTGTGTTATTATGTTGATTATTTTATAGTCTGATTGTTTAAAAATATATTGTTTAGTTATTGTTTTCCAGTATTTCGTTTATAAAAATCTCTTAATTATTACGAGTAGTATAACGAAATTAAAACTATAATTCTTTATTTTAATAACAAACCGCTACTTTTTTGTGAAGTATGTACCTTAGGTAAAATTTCAAAAAAAAATGTACAATTCTTTAATCGATTAATTGCATTATTTCGTTTCTTTGAAATACTTTGAAATTAAGCCATTAAATTTTGTAACACTATGTACTTAAAATAAAAAAAAAAAAAAATATAAAGTGGTGATGTCATAACTATACAAATGCATTTTTCTGCTCATACGTTTTAACATTTTCAAAAAAACAAAAAAAAAACAATAATAATGAATAAGGAAAGCAGCAAATCAGCAATACAACAAGCAGTAGTTGAGCAGCACAGCAAAATAAAAACCAAAAATGAGCAACAAAAATAACATAAAAATTGAGAAGTAACAGCGAACGCTCTTATATGAATCATTCATATTTTATGATGTTGCTTAGCTTTTTAGTTAGTTTGTTGCTTTCTATTGGAATGGAAGCAACAGCATGAATCAATTTATTTCGGAGAAAAAAAGAGTTTTTCTTAGTATCTTAAACACATTGCTTGTTTATTTAGTAAATTTTTAATTTTACTTTGAAAATAAAAAAAAAAACACAAAATTAATTTTTTTCACGTTTCCCAAAATATAAATGAAAAAATAAAAAAACACAAGAATTTGAAGAAGTTAATTTTAGGTTAGATTGTTTTTTTTTGTTGTGTTTTTTTTTGGAAAAGCAACGACGAAACAATTTTAAATAATTTATAAACAAAAAGTTACCATATTGTGCTTTTAAATTTTTTTTTTCCAAAACCGAATTTATAAGAGCGGCACATAATAATTAATTTTTTTAATTTATAATTATAACTTTAAGGTTCACATACTTTCAAAAATTAAATTACAAAAAAAAAAAAATAAACAATTGCATAAAATTTTGAAAATTGGACGAAAAGAAAGAAACAATAATAAAAATATTGTGTGAATTATTTTAAGAAATAATATTGAATAACTTGTTATTATTGAAAATATTTCTTCAAGAAAACATTAATATTACACATGTACCAAACAACTAACTAATTAAATCATACCATAAAATCATATGCAAAGAAAATTTTAATTTGTACTTACCTTCCATATGGTAAATATTAAAAAATGAAATTAAAACAAAGGAAAATTTAAAATAACAATATGCACATATAACGAAAATGATCTACATACAAAACTAAAGATAAAAAATGAGAAAAAAAGTGATCATAATAAAAAACAAGAAAAACAAAAAGAGTTTATATCAGACAGTGAAATTAATTTAAACTTCCATTTTTGAAACAGCAGGGAATGTTATTATGGTCTGTCCAGAAAAACAAGATCAAAATAAATTAAAGTATGGCAACTTGATATTGATTGCAAATTGCTTTTAATTTTAATATTTTTGTATATATAGGGTACTAGTGTATATCTTTTAAGAGTAATTTTAATATTTTAATTTTATGTACCTATATAGAATCTTATAAAACATAAGCTGTTTTCAAATATCACTTTAAATACCAAAGTGTATGAGTCATTTATTATTACTAAATTTTAATTATAATGTTAATTTAATTAATAATTAGTGTCTGAAAATTGCAATTCTGCGTCTATACTACTCAAAAGATGGCATGATTAATAATTAGAGTAAAAGGAAATTATTTTTAGTTGTTTAGTCATCTATTGGTGTCAATGGTCCCTATTTTATTCGTTGTTTCTATCACTTACATATATAATATGCAGTTCTTTATTTTAATTAATTAATTATTAATAAATTTATATTGAACATTTATTAAAAAAAATTAATTTTATATGTTACTGTGTTCAATATGAATATTCCATTAGAGTAGGTATTAGAATTTTGTTAATTTTATTGATTCAATTTATAATAAACATTCATTTAATTGGAACATTGGTATTGGAAATATTATATGAAATTCCGGAAATTAAAAAAGGAAATTTAATCTTAAAAAACACTTAACAAAATCATAGCTCATAAATGTATGTTGGTTTTATTTTTCTTATAGTATTTTTAAATTTTTTTATGAACAGTTGCTGTAAGTAGTTGGGAAGAAGAAGAATGTTATATTCTATGAGTAACAAAATTTCAAAAAAATTTATTAATTATTAATTTGTAGAATATTTTTTTCAGTATTTTAAAAAATGTTTATTGTTAAATCAAACCGATGTTATCGATATCATTTATAGATAAGAACTATAAATAAATATTTAAAAAATTTATACATATGTAGGTGTGTGTGCCTACCTTCTTTATTTATTTGAAATGTGTATTAAGTATATGAGTTATAAAATATATATTGCGTAATTTTATATAAAAAAAAATTTCAAACTCTAATATTATATAAATGTATATGTTTATTTACTAGTTATATATTATTTGTATAATACATACAAACATTGATATTTAGATAAAATATTTATTTATCATTTCCGTTCGGATGTAAACACTTTCTTTTTCGGTTCCCATTTTTTTTTATTAAGTTCAAATTTCCGATTTGCACTAAAAATAGATAATGAATGAATTTTTTTTTAAATAAAAATTCTAAATACATAGATTTATACATATACATGCTATACCTTTATGGAATATATTTTTTAAGTGTATTTCCTATGTAAGCTATACATAAATAAATTTTTTCATAAATAATTTATGATGTCATTGCTCTTATATAGATTTTGATTAATTGAAATATTAATAACATAATTACGATTTTTGAATCAATATTCAAAATTAAGAGAAACGAATTTTAGGTATTTCTGATAAAATTTTCAAGTTCTTCTGTAAAGTCAACATTTGCTGTATTTTTGAGAGACCTCAATGCGGCTACCATTGATATTGTTCGTTAAATAATTTTCACTGTTATTTGCTTAGTACGTACATATAAAATTAATGTTCCCGACCCCTTAAAAAATTTTTTTTTTGTTATTTTAGATTTATAAGCGCTTTCTTAGATATTTTTTTAAGAGGGACTTAAATTATATGACTAACAAGTCTTTGGTTTCCGTGATATATAGATTTTTGGATTTTTTAAAAATTTTAACTGAAATAATAAAATTTAAATTAAGGTTTTGAAAATTTCCTTGGACATAAAAAAATTTTAAACTATCTATCAAAATAAATGTGAGCAGCTCTTGTACTTCTTGCAATTACTCCTATGCATAAATTAGCGTAATTTAGAGTTTTATATGCGTTTAAAGTAGTTACCTTTAAGTAGAAAAGAAGTATGTAATTAAAAATTAATATAAAAATTTATAGTACAGATACATACTTGTGTATATTTGTATGTACATATGTACATTAAACGTATACGCTATTTGAATTTCTGTTAAGTGACAAACAAATGATTTAAATTTCTGTTAAGTATAGGAACCGGTACCATTTAATTTCTGATTTGAAAAAGGAAGTACAAAACACATTTCTTTTTTTTTTTTCTTGTTTATTTTTATATATCAATAAAATTCATTTATGTAACACATACCTAATCGTAATCAAAACTAATAAACAGTCGGCAAAAAAAAAAAAATACTTACATATTTTAATAAATTAAAAATTAAAACAAAAAATTGTTAATTTTTTATTAGGTATAAATTTTTTGTGATGTTTTTTTTTTTTTAATTTTTTCTCTAATCAAAAAATTAAAAACTTCAAATTTTTGCATTGTTTTAATTTTACTTTTTTTCTCATTTAAATAATAGAAAACGTGTGATAAATATTATTTTATACACATACATACATAAGTATATGAGCATATAGAGAGAGAAATTGCAAGTGAAAACAGAATAAGAGAGATATGTATAAAAAAAAGACAAATAAAAAACCAGTTAAAAAACAGACCAGTTAAAATATTTAAAAAAAAAAAGTAGCATTTATTTATTTATTTACTTTTTTTTGTTATAAATTAAGTACTTATTTATACATTGAACAATATTTCACTAACATACATACATATACATACATATATATTGTATTTCACTGATGATAATTTTAATTTTTAAAATATCCCATATGTGAAAAGAAAAATGCATTTAAAAAAAAATCAATTTAAAAATTAATACTTTTTTCTTTCATTTTGCCATAAATTTTTAATATACTTGCATACAAAACATTATGTTTTGTAAATAAATGTTCGTATGTTCACATTTATGTATGTACATGTCAACATAAATACGAATACATTTTGTACATCTTATTCGTAAACACAACATTATTGCATACAACTATTAATATTATGTACGCGAGTACTTAAAATAAAAAAGAATTAAAAAATAAACAAAAAGAAGACCAAAAAAAAAAAAAAACGTTTAAATCGCGGTTACAAAAAAAAAACCAAAACAAACAAAAATTAAAAAAATCTTCAATAGAGGTTAAAAAAAAAATAAATAAATTTCCATCAATAAAAAAAAAATCATTAGGGTGTGTTTACACTAAAGACTTAAGTAAATAAATAAATAAATAAAAAAAAAAACTTAACTTGATATCACCAAAATCAGAAAACAAAACTAGAAATAGAAAAATAGAAATAGGAAATTTTTCCGTTTAATAAATTATAAAAAGTGATTATGCACTTTAAAAACTAATCTACACTGTCATCATCGTAATCATCATCATCAAACAACTGAAAATATCATTAAAAAAAAGAAAACTAATAAATAACATTTAAAAAGAAAAAAAATACAACAACAACGACTCAACTATAATTGGAATAACTGTAACATGCATAGTTGTAACTATATTTTGTGCAAATTACTGAAATACGATATTAGAATGTCATCATTTTAATTAAAAAAACAAAACAAAAACAAAATCATTGACTTAAATTTTGTATAACAAAGTGTATACTAACTTACATTTTGATTGTTCAATATATAAGTATATATGTATGTATATTTAAAATAAAAAACAAATATATAACACACACATATCAATACAAGAGTAAAAATATATATAAAAATATATATTTTATATAAAAACATTCATTACCTGTCCCTGATTCATTTCTTACTTTTTATTTTTTTTAATTTTATCAAAAACAGTTAAATGTTATAGAGTCAGTGCGGGATTGATAAGATATCGATAACTTAAATTAAAAATAAAATTATACATACTTATATACATATTTATGTTTACATTCAAATGTTATACAAATGTATATATAACAATTTATATTATATTTGTATAACAGTTATATTATGTGTATAATATCAATTTTATCAATAATCATACATTTCTACTTACATACTTCATGTTGATTTTTAAAGTCTTATACATATATGTATATACAAATATACTTAATTATATTAATATTTCTATAATAATCTTATATATGTGAATAAAAAATTAGAACACTATTTATACATTTTGGATTTGATTGAATAAGAACTTTTCAGTAAAAAAAAATTTATATTTACTTATAAATTTAATAAAAGTATTAAAAATAAATTTTCATTTTAGTTTGAATAAAGAGGTTAACCAGTAAAGTTTGAATTTAATAAATTTATTTAAAATAAAACAAAAAATATACTTAATATGCGTATATTTACACAAATATTATAATATATTTTCGTTATATAATAAATAAATATAGAAAATGAATGAACTGAATGAATCATAATATTTAAAAATAATAATAAATTATTCTACACTTACTATAATAAGAAAATAATTTTTAAATAAGTAAATGACATAATCGTGTGTTTCTAAAGAAAATTCCATTGAATATTTTTAAAAAAATATATATACGTATGTATATATTATACATAAAATTATAATTTGATAAAAAATATTAAAAAAAAAAAAAAATAAAGTGAATTTTATCATTTTTGAAAAACTTTACAAAAGCCAGAAAAAATAAAAATACAAAAATGCATTCCGAAGTTGGTGTTGGTGATTTTATATTATTAGATGATATAACATTAGAAAAATTTATTGAAAATTTAAGAAAACGTTTTCAATCAAATAAAATATATACATATATTGGTGAAGTATGTGTATCAATGAATCCATATAAACAGATGCCAATATATGGTAATGATTATATTAATCAATATAAAGGTAGAGAATTTTTTGAAAATCCACCACATATATTTGGTATTGCTGATGCTGCATATCGTACTGTTAAACAACAACAAAATGATACATGTATATTAATATCTGGTGAATCTGGTGCTGGTAAAACAGAAGCATCAAAAATTATAATGAGATATATTGCGGCTGTGACAAATTTACATTCGAAAAATGAAATTGAACGTGTTAAAAATGTTTTAATACAATCAAATACAATATTAGAAACATTTGGTAATGCTAAAACAAATCGTAATGATAATTCTAGTCGTTTTGGTAAATATATGGATATTGAATTTGATTATAAAGCTGATCCAATTGGTGGTATTATTAATAATTATCTATTAGAAAAATCACGTGTTGTTAAACAACAAATTGGTGAAAAAAATTTTCATAGTTTTTATCAATTATTAAATGGTGCAAATGATAAACAATTAAAAGAATATAATTTAAAAAATAATTCATTTGATTATTATTATACAAATAATAATAATAATGATAATAATAATAATTATAATCATAATGATACAATCGGTTCAGATCGACGTGATTTTCAACAAACAATAAATGCATGTAATACATTAGGTTTTACACAAGATGATATAAATACAATATGGAAAACAGTTGCTGCTATTTTACATATTGGTAATATTAATTTTGATACTGATGAAGATCAATTAATTATAAAAAATCGACAAAATCTTATATCTGCTGCAAAATTATTAGATATTAATGATAATGAATTATTTGATTCATTAACAAAACGTACAATTGCTGCTGGTGGTAATATTATTAAAAAAGATCATGATATAAAATCAGCATATTTTGGACGTGATGCATTTGCAAAAGCAATTTATGAACGTTTATTCTCATGGATTATTAAAAAGATTAATACGGCTATTGAAGTGCCGAAATATCAGAGAGGTTCGTTTATTTATTTATTTTTTTGTTCTTGTCGATTGATAATTATGGGTGCTTATGAAAATGTTTTCTAATTATGTGAGGAAATTATTTTTGCAACGTAACTAATATTACGCGCTCTTAATGCAAGAATGTTACTAGATTTGTTGGAAAATTAATTTCTTATTTATATGAAAGTTCTGTTTTCATAAGCACTATTTTTTCAATTTCCAAACTATATAATTGTTATATTATTGCAAATACCAAGCAACATTGAAGCAATTACCATTTTAAGTAAAAATATTTTAAGTTAGCAAATTATACTTTTCATGTCATTGCCCTATAAAGTTAAAAAAATACCAATTTTCGGTCTCTTGTTTCTTCAAACTATATTCCATACTTAACTCCTGTAAAAATTAATTAATTTTTAATTCAAACTACATTTTTAATTTAACCGTTAGGATCAGTGTCTATGTTTTTTTTTTCTAATGTTAAAATATCCTCCTAAGTTTATGCAATAACTTAGAAGTTACGACTCAAACCAAGTGAGTGGTTCAATTTTAAAATAAACTAGGTTGATTTGCCAAAACTTACAGTAGTTTGTATACATAGTGTTAGTAAGTTCATTTCCTTAATATGCACATAAAAAGCTTTATGATATTGAAATAATTTTTAATTTATATTTTTTTTATGTTTGTTTTTTACCTAATATATTTTTGTTTTTCTTTTAACCTTTAAGTGCTATAATATGAGAATTGAATATAAAGTTGAAAATTATTTCATTTACTCATAAACAAAAATATAAAAAACAAAAATTATAATTATTACATCATTTTTGAGGAGTCATACTTAGCTATTCAATTATTTAAAAATTAACGAAAATATTTTTCATTAACGAAAAAATTGTTTATAATTCTTTACAGAAAAAAAAATTTAAATTGTCGGTCAGTTTTAAAAGATCTTTATCTTTATTTTCTTTTCCTTATTTAAATTTGTAATTAATTAAATTTCCTTAAAAATAAAATATTATTCTCGGGATTTTCGCAGTTATTATCTTCCAAGATTATACTGAGCGAACAAAAATATTATGCGAAATTTGGTCTTTTTTTCTTATCGAACATGTTTGATAACGATTGGAAACATTAACAGACTTAAATTGTTGAATATAATACCGAAATTTTGATAATGAAATTTTCTAATTTTAGTAGAATGAAAGAAATAGTTTTATTACTTACATTTTTGGAATATCTATGTATACAAAAAAAAATAAACCTAATTTAATTAATCGATTTTATCACTCTTGTACTTGTTTGATTGCTTTTAGTTTTATCGACAAGTTGACGGAAATTACCGTAGTTCAATTTTTTTTACTTTATAACCAGCTAGGTAAATTATTTGATATTCTGAATTTTACCATAAAACCTGAAAAATAAACTTCACTGTCTACCAAATTGTTTAACAATTAATCAAACTAAAATTTCATAGTGGAATTCGCACTGGAAGAGACAAACATACATTTAAAGCATTCTTGAATTATAAGGTTAGATCTTAAATCATTGGGCTTTTTCGACTAAAGTAAAAGTTTTTGAGTTTTATGAGCACATTGTAATTACTCGTGTTGTAAAAAAACATGATCATACAATGAATCATTTTGATTTGCAACAATGTCAATTTCAAATAGCCATATTAATTCATGCTGATCTTCATTACTAAAACAAATTCCAGTTAATGGAAAAGAAAATTCAAAATCATTAACATTTCAAATATACGATATACGAGTATATATAATGAAATATAAAAGTAAGTATAATATGTTTGACCATAAAAAAATAAACAAGATTTTTTATATTGACTTTCATGCAATCGAAAACCATTAGTATAGCATTGAATTTTAAAATGTCACGATTCTTTAACAAAATGTTAAATTATCCTAGACGAACGACGTTTATAATTATTTAACTTTTAAGGATCTATACCTAAATATTTACAAATTTTCTTTTAACTTTTTAAGAAATGGTTCGATAAATAAATATTACACTAATATGTTAACTTTAAAGAAATATGTAGAAATATTTTATGTGATCAAGTCTTGTTGATCTTCATGAATATGTTTATATTTGTTATAAACAATGTTGCGTTAATCAAACACTTATTTAAAATTAAGTTTAAACATTCTTTTTGAAATTTATTTTTTTTTTCAAAATAATATTGTTATACTTACATTGTAAATATTTTTTTGCATCATTAATATTTGTTTTTTTTTAAGTATATATAGTACATAAAGTACTTAAAAGGATTTCTGTTAGAGTTTTAAAGTCTGGAAGTGTTAAAAAATTTCTAGTACAATTTTAACGAAATTTAGCATTAGAATTATAACTAATGAATTATTCAAGATTTTCATAATAATTTTTCATTATTTGAATGATTTGAATTATTTGAATCTTAAACAAATCACCTAAATTGTTAAAGGTGTGATTCTTTAATCTATACTAAGATAGAATCTTTGGTATTACCAGAAATGTAAACTTTATTCTAAACACGTAGTATATGTATGTATATGTACGAAGCGCGCAATAATTATTGTAATAGTTTTGTTGTAATGATAAAGAAACAGATCAAGTGTTAACGTATAAGCTATTCTGGAATTTCAAATAATTGCAGTAACGCCATTTTTTATTTAAAAACGATCATATATACTATTTTCAAATCTATTACTCTTCCGCACCGCAAATACACTTCCAAAATTACGCTTTTTATATAGAAAGACGTGTGGATCACGTAACTATTCTTAAAAATCTTATGATTTCCAATAATAAAAACTTTGTGAAAAATCTTTTACATATCTTCTGTTTTTATCTCGAATTAATCACTTAAAATAATTTTACTTTTAAATTTTAAAACAGAAAATAATATTATGAAAAATTATTATTGAACTTTTGTAATTTCAATGCATTTTATTTAATTTGAACACAAAATTAATTATGAAAAAATATCAATTAAATGATAAAATAATAAATTAATAAATATTGATAATGCTTTTTAAAAGTTTAAATACTTAGGCACTTCAATTCTAGATATGGCCGCAAATGGCAAACATTTACTATATATACGTACAATTATGATAACACGGCGTTACCCTTAATAATTCAAGGAAATTACATAACTCGGCAAATTAAATTTTAAGTCCATAATACTTATATGTACATATTTATAAATTTTCTTATCATGAAAAGAAAACTCTCATAAATTTACAATAAAAATTAAATTTAAATTTCTATTAATTATTCGTACTCTTCAAAAAAGCCCATAGTTTGATTACATTTTTTGAATATGTTAACGAGTATGATTATTTGTTAAAAATACAAATGCTTGCCTAAGGAAGATCAGCTTGTCTTAGAATAATAACTTGCCGCCTCCACAGTAAAATGTCTGCAAAATTAATTTCACATTGAAAATACCGTTTTTAATTTTTCTTCTGCAAGCATAAGAGGCGAATAATAATTGGAGTTACTTATAATTTCTGTGCTTCTTCAATTCATTTTCTTATTTTTTTAAAAGTCAAACACGTTTTCGATGCTATTATGCGTATGAAATTCATACAACTCTCAATTTAAAAGATTGTAGAAAGGAAAAAGAAAAAATAAGTGGAAAGTTACTTTTGTACAAATTATTTTTTCTTGTCCCCATATAAACTGGTATATTTAATCAATAATGAAATCAAAATTTTTCATTAATAATTGTTAAAAGTTGCTTGGTATTCCTTTTTTTGACTACTTAATGATAATCAATTTTAATTTATGCATGAAATTTTTTTATTTTCAATTAAACGTTTTAAATAGGAAGCAGATCAGTAATAGGTGTACTTGACATTTATGGTTTTGAAGTTTTCGATAGCAACAGTTTCGAACAATTTTGTATTAATTATTGTAATGAAAAATTACAACAACTTTTTATTGAACTTGTTTTGAAACAAGAACAAGAAGAATATTCCCGGGAAGGAATTGAATGGAAAAACATTGATTATTTTAATAATAAAATAATATGCGATTTAGTTGAAAATATATATAAATCGGTAATCGATGAAGCATGTTTAACAGTTGGTAAAGTTGATGATGGAACATTAGTTACAACTATGGATAAAAAGTTAGCGAATCATAAACATTATAGTAGTAGACAAATTCAACCAACGGATAAAACTTTAAAACATAAAGAAGATTTTCGTATAACACATTATGCTGGAGATGTCACATATAATATTACAGGTTTTATGGAAAAAAATAAAGATACATTATATCAGGATTTCAAGAGATTATTATATCATTCGAAAAATCCAAATATTAATCAAATGTGGCCGGATGGTGCACAATCGATTAGTCAAACAACAAAAAGACCATTAACAACAAGTACATTATTTCAAAAATCAATGTTAGAATTGGTTTCAACCCTATTAAAAAAAGTGCCATATTATGTACGATGTATTAAGCCGAATGATATTAAAAGTCCAACTGTTTTTGATGAAAATCGTGTAATACATCAAGTTAGTTATCTTGGTTTATTGGAAAATGTAAGAGTTCGTAGAGCTGGTTTTGTTTATCGTCAAAAATATGATAAATTTTTGTTACGTTACAAAATGATTTCACAATACACTTGGCCTAATTTTCATAGTGGTTCAGCAAAAGAAGCTACACAAGTGCTTATTAATGAAAAAGGTTTTGATAATGATGTTAAATATGGTCATAATAAAATATTCATTCGTTCACCAAGAACTCTATTTTCATTGGAACATCAACGTAATGAAATGATACCACATATAGTTACATTATTACAAAAACAAGTACGTGGTTGGATTGCACGTAAACAATTTAAACGTTTGAAAGCAACAATTTATATACAAAATTATTACCGCCGATATAAATTACGTTCATATATTGGAGACTTAGAAAAGAAATTTAAGAATGCAAAAAATATGCCAGATTATGGTAAAAATATTAAATGGCCACATCCACCATTAGTTGCAAGACATATTGAAAATGATTTACATCGAATTTTTGATAGATGGCGAGGTTATATGATTTTACGTAAATATCCAAGAGATGAATGGGTTCAAATGCATTTAAAAATTTCAACAGCATGCGTTTTGAGAAATTGTCGTAAATATTGGGGACAAAATCGTAAATGGCTAGGTGATTATTTATCATTGTCGCAGGAAAATCGTTTTAATACACAATATGAAACATCTGTTAAAAATATGAAAAATATTGATAGATTTCAGCAAATTTTATTTTCATCTTTTATTAGAAAAATTAATAAACATAATAAAACAGCTGATCGTGCTATAATTATAACTGAGAATTCAATTTATAAAATTGATAGTGCTAAAACAAAATTTCGTAATATGAAACGTTCAATATTTATTAAAGATTTATCTGGTATAAGTATAACACCTGGTAAAGATCAATTAATTGCATTTCATTCACCAGAAAAAAATGATTTAGTATTTATAATACAAGCAGAAGATGGTATTATGTTAAAAGAAGATCGTATCGGTGAAATAATTGGTGTTGTCAATTCAAGATATACAAAATTACGAGGAAAAGATATTAATATATCATGTAGTCCAACAATTTTATGCCATTTAGGTGGAAAATCAAAATCAATAACAGTTCAAGCAACCGCTTCACATGCAACAAATGTATTTAAAGTGATTGATAAATCCAATTTACTATTAGAAGTGCCTTCAGAGTATTGTGTTTAAGTTTTTTTTTTTTTTAATTTTAATTTTAAACTGAATAATTCGGATTCTTTTATTTTAAAAAACAAAATGAATTTACTTAATTAGATTTATAAATTGGCCGTATTTTAGTTATACACTTTATTAAAAAGTTTTTAATTTTTTAAATGTATGTTAAATGTATAATTAAGAAAATAATATTTTTTTTTTTTTACGAAAGTAAGTTTGTATTAATTTGTTTTAATTTTTTTTTAATAATAAAGCTTTTTATGAAATATTTTAAAAATAATTAGAATTAAAACTATTGATTTTTAATTATTACATAAACAAACTCATAGTAAACATAAAATTCAATTTCTAAATTTCATAAAAATTTAAATTAAAGCAGCATTTGAGGACTATTAGCTTCAAATTTAAATTATTCGAAAGGAAATCATATAATTCGTCACAAATTATGGTTTCTGTTTAATTATTGTTTCATTATTGTATAATTTCCAAATAAAACTAATTTATTAACCATTCAAACACTGATATAAGTCTATTAAAAACAAAATAAACTACTTAAGAGTTTGGATTTTATTAAATTTTAGTTATTGAAACAAAAATTAGTAAATCAGTTTCAATGTGTCCTATGCAATATTAAGTTTTAGTAATTGCACATAACAGAGCCTACATGTAATAAATATAAATTATTATGATTCTTGTAATATATTAACAAATTGCAATTAACATAAGTTTTAGAAATTTAAAAATGTGGAATTTAATTCAAGATGCGAACTCCGTAATCTACATAATGTATAGTTATCTATACTTTAAATTAATTTAATACCAATAAAATTACATAATAATAATTACATTATTAATTGTGTGATTTTATTTATATAATTTCTGATTGGAATGAGGAGAAGTTTTCTTATATGTACCATTAAAATTTTATATTTATTACCGGTAAGATATTGTAAAAGTAAGATTAATATAATAGTGTTCAACACCGAGATTATATAATCGGTAAGTTGTCTATAATTTTTAATTCCCAAATATTTATTATCACTTAAAGTTAGTAAAGCGCAGATCGTTTTTATTTTTAACATATAATTTTTATAAAATAATAATTTACCATTATTTCTAACATAAAAATTTTCAATTTTCTTTTTTTTTTAGGATACACGTAATAAACATGGTGAGAGCTTTGAAAATTTATTAGGTGAGGAACAACGATTACATGAAATTGTAGATCCACTTAAGCATATCAATTTGGCATGTTTAGCCGCTCGGAAAATTAAAAAACACAATATAGAATATGTTAACAGAGTACCAAAATCCTTATATTCATTTATCGATTATCATTAATATTGTAATAAAAACAGAAAATTTAAAAAAAACATAAATGTAGTCATAAAAATTTATACAAAAAAGAAAAAATAATATGAAAAAAAATGTAAAATGATTGATATTAAAATGCATCGAGCAAATTATTGAATTTTCAGTAAAAAAATATTAACATTCGAAATTCAAAAATAGAATATGTATATAAAAAAATTACAATATCTTTTAACTTACAAAAATTTTATATAAAACGATTTATAACGATCGATGTTAACTTCAAAATTTGTAATAATCGTTGAAAATTAGAATAAAACTGCTTTATTTTGTTGTTTTATTTAGATACTTAATTTAATAAGAATTCAGAATTTTTTTATTAAATTGTCTTTACCTAATTAATGAAATTGTTCAAATATTTTCAAAAAAATTTTTCATTCAATTCTTTTTTTTCTTAATTTACAAAATTATTTCTTTTAAACATAACAAACATTTTGTTATTAATCAATTTCTTATATTATTATAATTATGTTATTATTCAAATTAAAAGTATGTAATTTTGTAACTACATAAATATTAAATTATACATAATATATTGATTTAATCCAATTTTAACATCAATTTCCAATGTGATTTTTTATATTGAAATAAATTTCATATTTAAAATTATCTATTTTAATTGATATATAAAATAGCTTGTCATATTTTTAAGTATTCTTTTTTTTAAAATATGCTATTAATTATTTTATTAACACACCAATATAATAATTATTATAAATTTTTAATATTTTTTATTTTATTATACAAATTATTTTTATTAATATTCTTTCAATTTTTATTTAAAATTGTATTTATTACAAAAATTAATTGTTTTTATTAAAACTTATTTTAAATACTATATTTTTAGTATTTTAAGTATTTAATTTTATTAAATTTGTTCTATATCATAATTTTTTTTAGTATTAATATTTTTCGAAACAAACCTTAAACAAATTAGCTTCATTTCCATACTCGAAAAATATATAAAATAAATAATAATAAAATACGATATACAATGAAATGTTTATAGAAAGGGGTTTCACCCTCAGGGTTAATTTCCCTAATGAAAGTTAAAAATTTTGAAAAATCTTTTGCGCTTATTGTATTTTAATATCAATGAATTTAATTTGTAAAATTAAAATAAGTAGATTTACAAATAAATAATAGTAAAACATATAAACGTATAAAAGAAATTAATGAGCTTTAGTAGAAATATAGGTGAAATAAAATATAAATTGTACTGAAATGACATATAATATTACAAAAAAAAAAATAAAATTTATAAAATAAAAAAACATGTAAAATCAAAAAAAAAAACAGAAAAAGAACAAAACTTATATACAATATAATAAACTATATAGTAGAGTTATATGTAATTATTTTATTCATATATACTTTTCTTGTTAATTAATATAATTGTAACAAATCTCATGTCACAGTTTTTTTATAAATTATATTTAATGTAAATATAAAATAAAAAAACAAAATTTAAAGAACATTTTTATCAAGATCGATCTAGATCTTGACAGAAACGGAAAGAAACGAGTAAATAGGAAATAAAAATTAAAAACATTTTTCTAAATAAAAATTATACATACACAAAAATATTTTCATATTAGTATAGAGTATTTAAGATAGTAATTATATTTTTGTCATAATTTGAAATTCAACTTTTGCTTTTTTTTTGAAAAACTTGTCAAATTGACACTTTGTAAATTTTGACAGTTGACAAAAGGAAAGAAAATTTTAAATTTGAAATAAATACTAAAAAAAATGTCTCAAAATTATATTTCATTTAATATATTCTTTGAAACATAGATTTAAATAAAAATAAAAAAAAAAATAAAAACTGAGTGTTTATTGAAAGTACATTACGTAGTTTATCATATACCTGCATGCCCTGTACAGGTCCTTTACGAAAATAGTTCAAAATAAAATTTTAAATTTAAAAACGAAATTTTAAATAAAAGAATTAATGAATTAATTTTTACCAATAAGAATGAAAGGGCTTTTTCGATAATTCAGTTCTGTACTGAAAGATCTAACTTAGGTTTGTAAAAACTTTTTACGCATACTTACAAACTTCTACAATCTGAATGACATATCTTTGCATGTCTGAAATGTCTAAAATTTTTTTTAACAAGCTTTTATTTTGTTGTTTGCAAATTGTCAATTTTATAAAAATAAAAAAAGAAAGATGTCTGAAGAACAAAAAAAATTTCTAAGCAAATATGTTGCAGATCAGATAATTGATCTACTTAATGAAAAAATTGAAAAAGTAATATACGTTTTTATCTGGAAAATAAAAGAAGACGAAAGCATTTGTTACTAACATACATTAAAAAAAACGAAAAGAACCTTGTACCTAAGGTACCCAATTACTTAGAAACAATCAATTTGATGCCGGATACCATATTTTTTGAACATTTCAGGATGGAGCGCGATTGTTTTGTAGTAGTTTGTTTCAACATCAAGTCTGGCTTGTATCAACATTTTTATTTTACATTTATCCCAAAATTTTTAATTTTCTATGAAAGAAAAACATAAATTATTAAATGTACAAAACAAAAATTGCATAAATTTACCCCATTAATTCTTCAATATCCGACATTTTTCTATTTTACTAATTTACACTTTTATTGCAGTATTAAAAAAAAATCTTTAAAATTGCCTAAGAACTTAAAGCTCAATCGTATTTTCGAACGAGCTTTTTTTGCACGAGAACATTATCGAACATGCTACTTTTACAGATTTTGCAGATTCGATTTATCGAATGTGCTTTACATTCAGAACTAAGTTAGAACTGAATTATCGAAAAAGCCCAAACATAATTAATAGCCATAATAAAGTCAAAATTAAGTTTATTAATTTAAACTACTACAAATAAAATAATAAGCCTTTTCATAAACGAAAACTACGCTATACTTATGTTTATAAGCAAATTATGCTAACCTAATTTGTTCACGAACATGGGTAATTTTACGCAATTCACATAGACCTACTCGCATACTCCTTCATTTGTGGATTGAACTCTGTTGTATTCTATTAGTATCAAAAGAGTAAAAACTAACCCACAAAATTTTTGTAGTGACATTTTTTAATTCTATTTAGATTTTAAACATTACCTAATTTGAAATTGAAAAAGTAACTGAAGTGAAAAAATTAACTGTTCTACTATTCAATTTACTAAGGTGGTATACTTAAACGTATATAGGTATATTAGGTGTAGTTGGAATTTAGAAATGATAACAATTACTGTGTTTATATCCAGCTTGAAGCCGACTTCAAAGGGATTTCGAGCTCGTGTAAACGCTACTTGACTTGAAATTTGCAATGCATTTGAATTACAATTTGAAAGACTGAAAATGACATAATATTAATATATAATTTTTGTCAGTTAACGTGAAACTCAAGTCGATTACGAGTAATATTATTTTAGTTTCTACTGTATATTCGCAGATTAAAATTTTTAAGTCAAGTACTTAATTTGCTTAATTATTATTATGCTGGTTTTATTAAATATATGTATGAGTTCAGGTTCATTCATGCAGTTTACTAACCAAAACGAATAATTACATGTCACCGAAAGTCGTAAAAACTTTTTGAAACCTACATTATTATTATTATTGAATTATTTATTATTCCATTATTTGAGTATTTTGTTCATAAAACAGATGTATTATGTGTTTATTTTTTGAACTTTCTCCATATAGAAAATTTTGTTAATAGTAAATGTTGAGAGATTGATAAATTTTAGTTAAAAAGTTTATACATTACATATATATATCAAAAATTACTAAACTTGCCAAAATATTTTAAAGATATAAGAATTTAATAAAACATGTGGCATTGCTAAAATTATCCACAATGTAGTAAAATGAAGCAGAGAAAAAATAAGAATCGAAATCTGTGACGTTTATTATTTTGATAACGTTTTGACAGTTTTCTAATTTGAAGTTTTAAATAAACGGTAACATTGTTATAACTAGTAGAGTAGTTGTCGCGACATAGATTTTTAGGAAGGAAAAATTTTTTTTTTGTTTAATAAAATATATTTAAATAATATATTTAAAACCTGTTTAATTTAAGAAAACTTAGCACACTACTTTCCGTATAAAATTGTGAAGATATTTTAATTAAAAAAATATGACAATACGACTGAGAAAATGAAGTAATGATTTTATAGTGACATCTTTTCTTGTTTTGTTGTTGCCCCCTCCCTAATAAGAAAAGTGAAAAAAAAATTTGTAATTTATATGGTAAAAAAAGAAAATTTAATGTGCGAATACAAATATTTATATTTTAAACCTAGCATTTTTTTTGTTAATAGAGTATAAATTGCCTTAATTAATTAAGTAGTATGAACGAATATTTCGCGATATTCTTTAATTGGAAGTAATCAATTTGTGTAGATTTTAGGGACTATTAACATGTTTGACGATCCACCACTTAAAAAATAAAAAATATATTTTAGGCAAAATAAAAAAAATTAAGAATTATTAATAATATTTGAAAAAATTAAGATGAATTAGTGAATTGAAAATGATATAAAATTGTTGAGATGAAGTAACATAGCAGTTTTAAAACAAAGGTAAACTTTCATGTTAAAAAAAATTTATAGTGCTTAAAATTTAAATAGGTATATGTAGTTACCTATATCGACATAAAAATGTATATACATATATCTGTTCATATATATATAATATATATATTTAAATTTATATTGCACATTTTATATGTGCCTTGTAATTGATACTTATTTGAAAAGAATATGTTACATTTCCAAGTTTGTGGAATTTTTTTTCGTAAGAATAGCAAATAAAACAATAGGCATCTACATATCTTTATACATATACTTATAGAATAGTATCTTTTCTGAATTAAAATAGTGCTTCTGAAATGTTTTGTGCTTATATTATAGCTATGGCCAACACTTGCGTCATAATTTAAAAAAAAAAAAAATGAGAAAAAAAGCCAAGCAAAAAGCAAAAGTAATTGGGTTATGATGAACAGAGCAATAGAAACAGAAGATTAAATTTCATTAACTATTTAATTTTTGATATAATTTTTAATTTTTATAATGCTCATTTGCAATATGCTTACAACCATAATATGTTCACTAAAAAAATTAAAAGCTAAATACACATGTTGGTACCTATACTTATTACCTATGTAGGTACCTGCATACTCGTAATGTATGAAAAACGAAACTAGTTAAATTTTTTTTTTTTTAGTTAAATTCCCTTTCATTATAAAGAATTCCTACGGATCTTATGCAATTTTTGTATTAAAGCTTTCAGTTTGTTTAAATTTTCTTATGATTGCAGATGCTATCTTAATAGCATTTCTCTTAATTTAATTAAATTATGCTCAATACTAAATATGTAATTTTCTTTTATGTACGCATATAAAGTATGTGCTATAGACTTGTATAAATTACATATTTAGATATTTTGAGAGTGTAGGTACGTATACTTACCTACCCATTTAATTTAAGTTTTCTTTTTAGTGAATTAATTGAAAATGTAAGAATACCAAATGAAATTTCAAAACAGAGCGATAAAGAGAACATTCCATTATCAAATTAAAAATTAAAAAAAGTAAATACGAAAAGTATTAAGAAGAAAAAAAAATAGAAGAAAAAATAAATAAAAACATGTTATAAAATATGGGAAGCGAAAGAAGAAATGATAATAACAATGGAACTAATAAAAACAACGAAAATAACACAAATAATTCAAATGAAAGAACTTTATTGGCTTTAGAACATAGCCTATCATCCAGTTATATCCGACCGGCAAGTTTAGTTGGACCTGAAAAAGAGCCAGTTAATTTTACCATTAATTTAGTTGGAGCACCGCCAGAGGCTGTACAGTTAGTAGAACATATCAAAGCTGTTGCTGAACAGTTTTTATATCATTGGAAAACTTTTCCAATAGGTAATGAATTTACATTAATTCGCACAAAACAAACAAACAAAAAAAGAAAGTATTGTCAAAAAATATTAATTTTTGTTTTTGTTTCAATAAAAAAGTACTTCCACAGCCATTGGCTGCCACAACTACAAATGGAATTAACTCGGTTAATAGTAGAAAATCGAAACAAATAAATTTGCGAGATCTTTTTATTGCTCCACCGTTTGATGAATTGGATGCTGTAGCTGCTGATAGTTCTGGCGAACCAAGAAGATTAACTAATACCCAATTAAAATCGTTAAGAGATCGAGGGTAAGTTACAGTATAAATTTTTATTTATATATGTATTTATATAAGATTGCATTTAACGCAGGCATTAAAATTTGTTTAAGTATTAATATAATATATCTGTATATGTATTTTTTTTACATTTACTTATTTATTAAGATGGTAATATAACGAAAATATTTTTTATAATATTTAATATTTAATTGTGAAAAAAATATTACAAATTCAAAATTTGAATTTGTAACTAGCAAAAGAGACATAATGTTTTACTAATATTTACGTTTATGCATTAATTTAATTTCAAGTTTGGGAACCTACTGCAAAAACGTAAAATATTTTAGTAAACAGAAGAAAAAACTGCATTTACAATAAGATCAGTTTCAATAAAATTTTGTTTGAAATTTATATGACACTTTACTCATTGTTATTACTTATATAAATTATGTTAAGTAGGACTATTTGTATTTATTGATTTAAGGCGCAATAAGTAGGTAGGTATCATATGAAATGTTTTAGTTTCATGATTGTATTAAGGAAGAATAGGTATATTTTGTAATTTCAAACAAATCAACTTATGCAATTAAGATGTTTACAAATTTATAAGTTGTATTCATAAAGTTTTAAGTTTTAGATTTCATAAATTTAAAGTTTTAGTTTCAGTTTAAAAAAATAAACCAAAAGTGTCTGCAGATGGCCACAAATTATTTTAAAATAATATAGTAGGTTGCAAAACACTACTAATTTGGGTACTTCAAATTTCACTATTTAATTCTCTTAAAATTGCATAATAAAACTCTACTTGCGTTTTTTAAGAATTTGTGAATTCGAAAGCGCCTTCTTTATGTAGTAAAGATGTATGGCAGGTTTTTATGAAATAAAAACGCTTTGGATATTACAAATATATCAATTTCAGATTTTCCAATAAAATATTATACAAAAAACATTTAAAATAGTTTAGTATTTTAAAAAAAAAATTAATTAAAAAAATCACCAAAATGACTTTAGCTGAATAAAAAAATTATTTATTGAATTACTTATTAATGAATTATTATTAGATCCGATATTCGAACTGAATTTCAATGCAACAGACATTCGCGCATTCATGGTACAAGGATATAAGTAGAAAAGTATTTTAAAAACTCTTGACGGCATATAAAATATATTCTATTTTATTAATAGAAATTTTAAATATAATATAAAACATGTATAACTTGTAGTTCTATTATAAATGTTAGTTTTCTTTTATAATTTTAAAATAAAAGTAAAATATAAGTAAAGTTTTTTTTTCGCGCAAATTTCAAAACCTTCATTATAAAATGAATATAGGAGGTTTTATTTATGTGTTTTTTAAATTGTTTATTTAAGTTTATTTTTATTTTAAATTATAGTTTTCTCAACAAAATAAAACAAAATAAAAAAAAATAGCAAATTCAATTTATGATTGCTTTTCAAATTTAATTTTATAATTTATAAGATCGCTTTAACATTTTTGACAAAAATTTTTAATTTTCATAAATTCTATATTCATAAAATTTTTCAAAAATCGTTAATTGACGAGTTTTTTTTTTTAATATTTATTTATGCATAATTCAAAATCACAAAATTCAAAATATTTAATAATATTTTTAAAAACGATTTACTTTTAAAAAGGTACAAAAAGTTTTCCTCTGTATAATGTTTTCTTATACGCTTATGGTTGTCTTCATTCTTTGTTATTAATGAATTTTGTGTTTCTGGATTACATATCCATTCATTGATTCATTGAACAGTCACAATTCCAATTATTTTTTTAAAGTGAATTTCAAATAATAATCACATATGTTATTGCAAACATTATCATCTTCTATCACCATTTTTATCTCAGCAATCACGTATTGTTATTATAATTTATTTATATACTTACTTCTTTGTTTTTTCAACTCTCGTACTCTGGTTTTTCTTTCTGTGTTGAATATTATTTATTAATTTTTATATATATATATTTTTTTTTGATTATTAAAATACAAAAACAAGAAAACTTTCTAATTTAAAAAAAAAAAAAGTATGAAAATTTAAAATAAAATAAACAAACAAAAGGAAAGAAATGAAAAAAGATAACTTTTTTAAAGCTTGCATAAGGATAAATATGGAAAACCGAAGAAATTAAGTTTGGAGCAATTGGATACAATTCGTCATAATGGGTAAATAAAGTTTTAAATTTTTCTTAATGCCAAAAGAAAAAAAAAATAGAAAAAAAAAAACAAAATAAAACGAGATTTAAACGAAAGATTCAAAAATAATTTAATTTTTTCCCCCCTAATTTTTTTTTTTATAATTAATATATATTAATAATATTCAGTGGAAATTATGGGCCGAAAATAATGAAAATTTGCTGTATTTTATTATTTGTTTTCTCCTTATAATTTACTTATTCTCTCTGTATATAAAATTGATTGAAAATTTTAATTATTATTTGTTTTTGAACTAAAATATTTATCTTTTAAAATTGCTTTTCTTTTGCGTGTCTATATGTTGTTTAATTTTTGATTGTAATACTAAAATTAAAATTATAATTTAGAAAAATATAAATATTTATTAATTATTTAATTATAATAAGTAAATTTTAAAATAAACGCACTGGTCAAATACTTTTTGTTTTTTAAGTTACAATTAATTAAATATATTTAATTAAATATATTATTAATTACATTTATTTAATATTACCAGATTACTTATATGGTAATAATAAATTAAGAAATCAAATTTGAATTTTAATTTTTTTAGTTTTATTTATTTTTAGAGAATTATTTTTGTAAAGGAAGACATAACCAATACTTTTGATCAATCTTTTTAAATTTTACATTTGAATTTGTGATTAACCAATAATCCCTGACTTAATTTGTTGAGATATGTCGCAATTTGCTATACTACAAAGTATAGAGTTGAACATTATATAGGCAAAATAATTAGCAAAATGCAAAATTCAAGTTGTGCCCTAAGAACCTTTTTCAAAAAAAAAATATAAAAATGTTGTAATCAGTTTTTGAGTATACATGTTTTAATAATTTAAATAATGGTACTTAAAATTAATTTGTTTGATCAGTGTAAATATTAAACATTTTTTTTTTTAATTTATGAAATTAAATTATTTGAAATATTGAATTGTAAAACAAAAATTTTCTCCTTATTGTATTTTTATTTTAAATTTAATTTGAAAAATGTTATTTCTTTTTGAAATTTATGTTTTTTTTTTTTTTTAAATTAATGTTCGTAAAATACACAAGTTCTTTTATTTTCTCTTTTTGAATTTTGTTGTGTGTGTCACCGAGAAACGAAATGTAAATTTAACATTATTTTTAATCATAAAATGTGCACATTTTTTTTTTGCAAAACTTTTAATTAAAAATATTTTATAATATTAGAATAAAGAGCATTTTTTATAATTTTAAGTTTTAAATTTTGTAATTCAACAAAATAGTTATTATTTATTTTTCTTATTAATCATTTATAATAATTATTTTATTTAGAAAAGTCATTTTTACGAATAATATTGTTGTCATTTTGTTTTTGATTTGCATTATAAATGTTACTTATTTGTTATAAAATACAAAAATATATAAAGGTATTCATTAATTTATTATAAATATTTTAATTTATTTTAAGGTTTTATTTTATTTTTTTTGGTTTTTGTACTTAAAGCAAGTGGATTTTTTGTAATAATTTGTTATTTATATATATATAATGAAACCCGTTAATGAGTTTTAAATTTTTAATCAAATTATATAATTAAAATTTTATTTTTAATAAACAATGTGTTGATAATAAGTTGATAAAATGGTTGAAAAAAATGTATTTTATTACCATTGTCATGTTTCCCGTTTTTATTTATAATTTCGAAAGAAATTTTATTTATTTCTTTTAGTATCAGATTATTTAAAATTTTTATAATACCTTGTTATCGTAACTTCCTTATCTGAAAACTATTTTGTATTGAACCAAAAAAAAAAAAAAATTAAATTTTATAAACAAGCTATTGTTCAATTAGAAATTTTTGAAAAAAAAAATGTCGCAAATTAAAAGTAATGTTTTAATTAGATTCATTAAATAATTTAGATATTAAACAAAGAATAAACTGATAAGTACAGAATAATTTGTAAAACTTTATGGAATTTTGATATAAGTAATAATCTTTTATTTATAAAACTGAGGTCTCATTTTGTTCCCAGTCATTAGTAGACTTAATTCTTATTATTGTAATTTTATATATAAAACGAATGTAGTTATATAATATTGGTTTCATTAAAATTTTAATTCCAAATAAATAAATTTTTCAATATTATGTCCCATATTTTGTAATAAAACTTAACCCTTAACAGAAATCTTTCGAATGAATTTTTGAAAAAGTTTTTCTTCAAATATTATTGTTTTTCGTGTGTATTTTTTGTATGCATAATAATTATAATGATTTTTTTTTAATAATACAAGTTGCATGTTATATTAAAAATAAAATATAAATTTTTATATATTTTAATTTTTAAAATTTTTATTTTGTCTATGGGCATTCAAGTTAATATGGGAAACATATTAATTCTAATTCATATTTTAAGAGTTTCTGAGTTTTTTTTTAATGCTTATATATTTGAGGTATACAAAATTTATTTAAATCAAAAATTTCAGAAATTTTCGATTCTATGATCTAGATACGTATAGTTTTTTTTTGTCAAACAAAGTTTTCAACTTTATATTCTAACTAAATTCGCCAAATGTGGAACTTCCTGTGTGGCTAAAAAAAAATTGGATTGAAATACAGAAGAAATAATTTTTATTATCTTATCGATATTAAAATTGAATAATCTCGGTCTTATTCTGTAAAAATTCTTTGAAATTTTATTTAATATAATTTTAAAGCCAATTTAAAATTTGTGTAAATTTGCACTGAGAAAAACCAACTTAAAAGTTTCGAGTTAAAAAGGAAATCAATTTCATATAGAAAATGAAATATGAATAATTTACAAAATCTAATTAAAAACTTTTTTAAGATGATTTTTTCAGAAATAAAATTGTGTTCTATTTTAAATATTTAGTAATAATATAATTATATTTTAAAATAAGAATATTTCGAAATTTGTTTAATTATATTTTATTATTATATTATTATATAGCTAATGCTATATATTTGTCTTTTATATTGTTTAATTATATAACTTAAAATAAATACATATTTATGTACTTATTTTAAAGTACATAAATAAATTTAAAAATTTCATTAATGACATTAATAATTTTAAAGAAAATTTACTTTGTTAACATTTTACATTATCACACGTTACATTATATTCACAATACTTAAATGATATTTTAAAATAAATTTGTAATTAAAAGTTACTTCTTTTTTGATTTCATAGAGAATTTGATGTTCCAAGTCTCAATTTCCATGGACAAGTTCATAAATGGCGTCTCTCTCAATTTCTTCAAAAAGGAACATTTAGAGCACATGATTCTTTTCTCAGTGATTTAGCATTAGCTGCTCGTTTTATAGTAATAACAGCAAGAGCACGTATATTTTCACATTTCTTCTCAGTGGCTCATGCCGTAAAAGCGTTATTAAGTGGTATAATCAAATTAATTGATATGATAATTGGTGTACCATCACTTTTAGCGCATAATTTAGATTATAAAATTAGAGAAGAACGTTGTAGATATTTAGTTGCTGAGCTTGTTTGTAGAGTAAGTTAAATTTTACATAAACGTTATATTATTTGTGACCTAAATAAATTGATTTTGTGAATTTTCTGTAGCCGGAATATGAAGATTGTATGGATTCATTATGTTCTTACGTAAGAAAACAATTACGTCGAGCAACGATGGAAAAATTTGACGTCGAATGTGAGACCGCCCAGCCTATTCCATATTTATTTTTAACACCAAAAGGACAAGAAATAGATTTACGTTTATTTTCAAGGGATATAATACGTAAAGCTCTACCAATTCTCATAGGAATTTTAGAACGTGAAACTCGTGGATGGTTTTTACACTTTAGAGAACGATTAATTACTGAATTAAGAGAAAAAAAATTGTCTGATAAAGAAATAGAGGAGGTAAACTATTTTGTAAAAACAAAAAAAAATTTATTAAAATAATTCTTGGTATTTTATTAATCTTAGGAAGTAAACGAAGCTGTAATGAAAGAATATTTACAACGAGTATACTCATCAATATTAAATAATTCTGATTTAGAAGATTTGGGGGATGGTATACCACAATTGTTAGTTCAACAAGCTCAATCTGTTGTTATTATGCATAAAGCTGTTGAAAAAGTTCAAAAAGAGATGAAAAGATCACGTGATGATCATCAAAAATGCTTATCAAATGATCATTCTGTTCTTTCAAGAGTTGCACCTTGGTTACGTTCGAAATTAAGAACAGCTGAATTGACAAAATTAAGAAAATCAACTTGGTCAGCACATGAGGAAGCTTTAAAAATGTGTACAAAGCATAATTTACAGCAAACGTCTTACTTCTTGAGTCGTGACATGACATTTATGAAAGAGCGTGAACCTATTTTATTAAAGGAATTAAAGAATGCAAAAACACCAACACGTAGTTTTCAATGGGCGTGTCGTATATGGGCTCCAAGAGCTTGGGTAATAAGAAGAAATTTCCAAGGTCAATCTGAAGTAATACCAACGGTTATATGTCAACAAGCAACTTCCATTGTTACACCAAGATCAGATCCGAGTCAACCAGTCTTTTTAGTCGAAAAAGAAACTTTAAAAACAACAAGCACTCGTTGGCCATTTTGGCGTTTATTAAATTTATTACAACGAACATGGTGTTGGACATGGAACATGATGTTTATGTTAGGTATACTAATGCCGTGGTGTAGTTCATTAGGTGTTAGAGCATTATTTTGTATAAAACCATTTATGCCTGATCTGGAATTATCACAAGTGAATGGGACTCTATTTCCGCGTAAAACAAGTATAACACCAACATTAGCATCTAGGTTAGTAGAATTATGGCGAAATATTTCAAAAGCGAGAACGCATTTTGAAACTGAACCAGATACAGGTTTTATAGGAAAAGGTTTAACAAGAAATATGAATCGCGTGTGGAATTATTTTTTCAAAGGATTCCTAGGGACCGTTTTACTCCTATTTGTTTTTCCACTACTCTGTTTAGCAGCGACATGTTTTAGTATTTTCCTAGCTTTGACGGCACCACTTTGGATGCCAGCTTTTACAATTTCCCTTCATTTATATATGATGCTAATTTATGATTTAGACTGTCCAGATTCTTCTCGAAATCGATATTGCATCTTTTTGGAAGCACTTATTTGGAATATATTGATTCAAGGTTGTATTCAACCATTGGCAGCTGTTCTTGTAGCTTCAATTATTTGTCCGTTAGCATCAGTTACTGTTCTAATCGGTATGCGACAACTTGATAAAATTACTGAAATTTTTTTAGTTTACTAAATAATTTATTTATGTTTTGCAGTTGGAGTTATCCGTTATTCATCACGTTTGCTGTGGGATTCTTTAACTTTTCATTTGTTTATTAAAAAGTATGGAAGAGTTCCCGCTAGTGATAGCTTTGCTGTACGTCGAATAGCAGGTCCAGGTTTAGCTTTGGATTATTATTTTGTAATAAAACCAGAACAAGCATTAGTTGAATTTGAAGCAAAAATGGAGTTGGATGAACTTCAAGCATACCAACATGCAATGGAAAGAATAATATTACAACCTCAAAAGGACTTTAGTCAATTTGTTGAAGCTTGTTTTGGTCCATTTTCCGCCCAATTATCGAAAACTGGACCGTATCGTGGGCTAGATCGAGAAGCACAAGATCTTATGAGCTCTTTGCACGAAAAACTAGAAAAACGAAGGCGAGAACTACAATCAGGTCTAACAAGTTCAGTTAAAAGTAGGATTAAATTAAATACGATGGAATTGAAAGTAAGTCCCTTGAAGTAGTGTGGTTAATTTTAAAAAACTATTTTTCTTTAGAAAAGAAGTGTTGCACAAAGTATTTATTTTACAGATTGCAATACAGTTGGCAGCACATATGTTAGAAAAATATTACCCTTCTCATGTACTGGCTCGGTTATCCATAACCGAAGATGATTTCTGGGACAACAAGGTATAAAAGCAGTAATATTTTTACAAGTTTTTGCTTTATAATTATTTATCTTCAGGGTTTATCGATTAATGATTGGCCAGGTCTTGCAGGATTAATGTATACTGAAATATTCAGTTTGGATTTTTTGACACCTTTGAGCGATTCAGACACCTATTTTAAATTGGAACCACATCAGTCTTTAGATTTGTCAAAATATGTTGAAATGGTTCAAAATGCAACTGATGTTATTGGGTCAAATGGCCCAGATTTATTGGGAAATGTCTATGCTCCGCGTGGCAATGTTCAAGTCAAATTACCGTTTTTAGAAGTGTCTGCTTTCAATCCGCGTTCAAGAATCACAATGACGTTTAGGAAGCCTGAGAAAAGGTAAATTTTATTGGAATATACACCGAAAGAAATATTGATTCTATTTTATATGTTTTTTTTTTAAATAGGGAAACAAATTCAGGCTTGACGACGCCTAGAGTTCGGGCTCATAGAGCACAGCAATCAAGTGATACAAACAAACCATGGAGACCTTGGAAGAGAAAAAATGCAGACAAAAATGTTGCTGAGAAGCTATTAATTCCGTTGCCCATTCCACATCCTGTACATATCGCAATCGCTATACATAATCGTGATTCTGAAAATCCCATACCATTAGATTCAGAATTATGTTGGGAAATATTGAGAGCTATAGAAGATTGTCAAGGGGAAATTCAGGTGAATATGTACTTTGAAGCTGATGTAATTTTTACTTTAACATTTGTAATTTTTTTTCAATTAGGCGGTAACCGTCGCAAGATATCGTGGAGGAGCTCCTGATTCAAGTATTGATTCACTTGATTCAGATAGCAGTTCAAGAAGTAATGGAACACGTGATTCAATTGCTGCAGCTGGTGGCACTGAAACGTTACCATGTGGTAATAGAGAGGTAAATTTGAAGTACATAATATATTAATTTTGTATATATGAATATATATTATTAAAACTTATTTTTTTATATTAAAATTAAATTTTTTTAATAATACTTTTCAAGGTTAGTACAACAATAAACGTGGATCCACAAGAAAGCCAACAGAATACTTCTGGTTTTCACTGGACGCTGAATAATTGGGGAGCAACCCAAGCAGCGCGTCGTCGTAATAATTCGGGAGTGGTACGTGTAGATTTAGCTAGTCCAGAAGATATTTCTCTAGATACCGACAGTTCAAGAGTTGTTTTTAGTGCTTACGGCACAACAGTTTGAATTTAAGTTAAACGAATTTTTTTACGTTAATAAATATAATTCTTTTTTTATAAATTTTTTTTTTTTAAATTTTAAATATTTACACAAAAATAAATTATATATTATAATAAAAACATAACAAATATATTAATATCAATAGTTAAAAGAAAAAAAAACAAAATAATAAGAGTATAAGCACATGTAATAGTATATTATTATTAAAAAATAGAAATCAATTGAAATAATTAAAAGAAAAAACTCTAAATAAAAATGTTTCGTACACAATAATTAAAGTATCGTAAAAGAAATATTTGCTAATGTTTGGAAATTCTAGTCGCTAATTAAGTATATTAAAGTTATATTTAACAAAATCTAAATGAAATAAACAACAAATATAAAAATAGAAATTTTGAAAATACAGAAAAAAAAAATATGAAATAAATAACTTAGATACAACTTTTTCATTAAATTATTACAAAGAAAAACTATAATAATAGAAAATACCAAATGAAAAGAAAAAACAAGTAAAATTTTTAATTATTAAATATAATTAGAAAATAAATACACCAAAATAATATTTAGAAAATAATAAAAAAAAAATATGCAGAATTTATAGTATTGTGTTAAAATATACCAGTAGAACCATATGAGTTTAAGAATTAAAAAAAAAAAAAAAACAAATCTATTAAATTCTTGAACTATATAAATTACACTTCTTGCCTTAAAAAGTTTTATTTGCTAATGTTTTTTTTTTTTTTAATATAAGTTTGCAATTTAAATTTTTGTATTCTTAAAATTTGAATTTTTGTATATTTAATATACCATGCAGTACAAATCCTCAAACACTTATCTTATTTTTGAAAATCATTTTTTTTGAAATTGAAGCAACCAATGCTCTTAAATATATTCGTCAAAAAAAAAAAATTTTTTTTTATAGCTAAACAAATGTTTTTTGCACAAATTGTTATAAAGGGAAAAAAATTTGTTATTCTATTGTAAAATGGTATTTAGAAAGTTTAGTTCAAGAATAATAATAGACCACATTTCAGCTAACGATTTTGTTTTTGTTAAATTTAAAAAAATATTCTTTCATTGGCTGCTGCATTAAAGTAATTTATTCCAATTTTTTTTTTTTATTTTTTACAATTGATATTTCTTATTATCAATTGAAATTTTAAAATTTTTTCAAATCAGTTAATAAAAGCTATAATATATGTATGATTATTTTATTTAAGTATATACATTATTGTATATTAAAATTTTTAAGACAGCTAAAGTATTTGAATTAGTGTTGAAACAAAATAAAATTATCCTTAAATTAAACACATTCCTAAAAATTTATGGCAAAAAAAAAATAATAATAAACCATTACCTTTTTACTCCAAAAAGAAAAATATTTTCAGTACAAATTTAAATTTTAAAATCAAACCAAATTATTTTCTTAAGTACAAAATGTTTTCTTCGTCATAAATTTTATTATTATAATTTAAATATTAAAATGAGTACCCTCCTATAATTAATATATATCCAAATTAATTCCATTCCAAAACTGATTTGAATTCATCAAATACAATGTGCAATATTAAAATAAATTTTTTTTTTGTATTTATTTATATTATAAATTCAAATTGAACAATAAATCAGTGTTTTATATAAAATACAAAGAGAAAAAAAAATAAAAAACAAAAAAATTAACCATAAAATTGTACAAAATTCAATAATTTTATTTTAAAATAATTGAAAAGAATAATTCAGGTTATATTTTTAAATCAAATCAAAGCTGTCTATAAGTTACCAATTTAAAAATAATTTGAAAATGAAATAAGCATTATTACATACAATAATAATTAATTACATGTACTGTTGTAATATTATAAAAAAAAAAAATTACTCTTACTTAATATAAATCAATCTTAGATAAAATTAAAAGATATCATAGAAATTTTTGTATTTTTCTTACATTGATGATGTATTATCAATTCATTCTAAATTGCTAACCAGGGCTATGCAAAAATGACAAAAAAAAATTAAAATCATTACACTAAGAATTCTGTTTCTGATCATAATAAAGTAGTTACCAATTTTATTACATGATTTATATGATTCAAGTTCAACACTGAAATAATATTAAAAAAAGTTTTATTAAAATTCATAATTAAAAACTTTAAATGTACTTTCTGTATCTGACATAATCCTAAATTTTTATTACTAATTTTAATAATTAAAGTTTTGGAATTAATTTCAATTGAATCAATATTAAATTTTTTATTAATTTAATTTAAAGATTTTATTAATTTTAATTTTTTTTTAAGTCGTAAATTTTTATACATAAATAATATCAATAGAAATGAATTCAAAATAAATATTTAAAAATGAGTTAAAATATTTAAAAAAAAATATATATATATATATATATATAAATAATGCGAAATAAGAATATCAAAGAAATAATAAATGGTCAATGCTTTATCAATATTTTAAGTTTATAATATTTTAAATTTTTTATTTTAAATATTGCACTATTTAATCGACATTTTTATATTTATTTTTCAAAAAGTAATTTTTAAAAAAAAAAATGTCAAATTAAAGTCTGCTGTCAATTATGACAAAAATTTATTAACGAAAAAATCTCAATATTTATGTATCTGTATAATTTAATTTTTTGTTATAAGAAAACATATAATTTTTTTTTATTAATTATTTTGCCTTAAAAAAAAAAAATAAGAATTAGATAACAATTGCAGGAAAAGAAAAAAAAACCTATATACCAAACATAGAATACAATTTTTAATATTTGGGATAATTTTGTAAATTATGTTTAAGTTAATTTCTTGTTTTTGTTTTTTCTGATAATATATTAAATATAGCGTTTTTAAATTAATGTCTATCTCTTAATATATTACACCTTCTGCAAATTATGTATGTAAGTTTATAAATAAAATAAATTTCTACTTAGGAATAAAATATAATATAAAAAAAAAAAATAAAAAAACTTGATACAATAAGAATTTTTTTTCATATTTATGCAACTTAATTATTAAACACAATTTCAATTCATTCGAACATGTTTATTTCTACATCGTTTTATAATCTGTATTGTACCAAGTTAATAAAATCCGTATTGCAGGAATAAAAAAAAAAAATGCAATGCATATAAAAGAATTTTGTATTATATATACGTGTTACAAATAAACGTGTTCGACTGTCTTCTAATATAATAGTTATTTATTTAAAAATACTCAAAAATTGTTAAATTTTTTCAAATAGAATTTACTTAAACATAATATTATAGAGATTAGCTAAAAATTAATTATCCCAATTCAAACTATGTATTTTAGTTTTTTTTAATAATATTTGAATATTTTATATTTTATAAAATTTTAATTCTTAAAATATTATTTTTATGTATTAAAATAATTAAATTATTATGTTTGCAGTCTTTGAATTATAAAAAGAAAATTTTAAATAGAATATTAAGTATTTAATTTCCAATGCAAGAATTTAATTTTATTTTAATTAAATACAATCTTTTGAGATTCCACAAAACTATATATATATATGTTTATTATAAAAATATATAGATTTACAAAAAAAAAATATATATAACAAAACTCTATAACAATGTAAAATTTCAATAAATTGTAAGTAAAAATATAATTATGTAAAAAATATAAAATATGCATATTTTACATGTATATATACGTATTTTATTTAATATTTAATGTAAGATAATAAGATTTGTTTAAAGAATTTAAAAAAAAATATAATTTTGAATTTTTTTAATAATTTTCAATACACATAATATATATATATATATTTTACAATTACATATTAATTATTATTTTAAAATAACAATAAAATTTCCAAATCGGTTTTTATTTTTTTTTTTTTAATGCACCGTTGTTAGTTACTAGGCCTGAATATAAATTATTATTTTAAATAACATTTATGTTAAATAATTTACAAACGAAAGAAAAAAAAAAAAAACTGAACGAAAAAAAAATTAAATTAATTATTATTTTAAAAACAATAGTAATCAAATATTCATAAAATATATTTTGTAAATATTTGATTACAAAAAAAAAAAAAAAAAACTCGAGTTTAAAACAAATTAATTAATATTATTCAAAATAGATATGCAACTCTAAAAATCTGCCATGACCTGTTTATTGTATCAAAAAAAAAAAAACAAAAAAAAACTAAAAAAAAAAAAATACATAAAGATTTAAATACATATTATATTTATTAAAAATAATTATTTATAATATTACAAGTTTAATAAAAAGCGTCGATTAAAAATTTTCTGTTCAAAAAAAGTAAAAATGATAAAAAAAAATAAAGATTTTATAATTAAAAAAAAAATATATATATATTATATATATAAATAAATATGATATATACATAAATTTATATATATATATATTATATTGACTTCTAGTATAAATTTAAATTTTAAGTAGATATATCAAAATATTTTAAGTTAATCTTTTTTAATTATTATAATATTATTATATACGTATATTATATAAATATATTTTACAAAACAAATTACATATTGTATTTAATGAAATTAATTATAAAAAATAATATAAAAATCTATGTTACATGACATATTGTTTGACATTTTATATAATTATTTTAATATATGTATTAAATAATTTTAATTAAAAAATTAATATAAAATAATTATAAAATTAATTTCTAATACTCTATAGAAAATAATTTAATTACGTATTAGTATTTTTTCCGTGACAAATTATTTTAAATTTTTTTTTTGTATAATTACCGTAAGTTGTAGAATTCCAGTTTAACAGCCTAATCGTGTAATTCGCTTTATGTTATCTCACTTTTTATTCACTTTCACAAGAACTAACTTTCATTTTTTCAATTGGATTTTTACATTTTTTCTTAAATTATCGATTGAAACTGTCACGATCACTCCCCAAAAACAACATGAATAATTAATAAATTTTATTATAAATCTGTCACTATCACCCCCCAAAAACAAAATAAATAATTTTTTTTAATACATTTTAGAAAAATTTGAAAATAATATTATACAAAATATATGATAGTCATTAATTTTTTTTCTCATTTGGTGAATAAAATATGGCGAGATAACGTCCCTATTAAAGGAAATTTTTTAATTCACAATAGTTTATTTATTTAATTCAATTTCAAGTATTTAATTATTAATAAATAATTTTATGAAATCTAAACAAATAAATTAAATACAATTTCTTATTTATATTAAATATTATTTTAATGATTAAAATAATTAATAGTCACAGTTTATTTAAACAATAAATTAAATTAAAAAAATGTTAAACTTTTGAAATTAAAATTTTAAATTGTAATTTTAATTTTATTTTTTTGGTTTTTAAATCAAATAAACAATTTTATATTTTTGTTGCAATATGTTTTTGTAAAATGTAAAATATATTTATATAAACTACCACTATTATACAATATATTTTTGTTATATTATTCTTTGTTTTTAATCTTTTTTAATTTATTTTTGTTTTATGTTTTATCGCATTAAATATATATATATTTTTTTTGTCGTATATATTTTAAATGTGCTTTAATGCTTATTACTATATGTATTTTATATGATTTTTGTTGATTAAAAGAAGAAAAAAAAAACAAAATTTTTTTTTTTTAATTAGAAAACGCGCACAGAATAAAAGTATGTTAATTTTATTATAAATTTCAAAAAATAAAAAAAAAAAAAATAAACATAATAAAATTTATACTTCGTTCCGCAATATATTATTTAATATTTGAATTAATGTGTCTTTTATTTTTTAAATTATATTTCAGTGGTCAAGAATTCTGAAAATTTATGTTTATTTCCCTAATTTTATCCATAATATATGATTTTCATCTAATGAATGCAAATTTAACAAGGCTCTGTAATATTATTTTGGTTTTACTTTTATTTCGCTTACTACCTTGTTCGTAGTTCTGACTTTGCTTCCTGATTATATTCTTTTATATTTGGAAATATTATTCATATGTGATATTTGGAACAGCTTTATTTAAACGATATATTTAAAAATTTTTATCAAATTCTCATTTAGAATATTAGATCATGTAAAGTACATTCATAAACGTATATCAATATGAAATTTATGTCATGATTTCAATCTCAGTTAGAATGTAAAGGAATAGGATGATTCTATGTTACAAAAGTAAAACTATTAGTAGACTACTGTTACTTCGTTTTCAGCTTTTAAATAACGAGTGCTTAAAATAAGAACACCATAAAATTAATGTTTTTAAATCGAAATCTTTTTATTTAAAGGTGAATATGTATGTATGCCGCTTCGCATTTTATGACTCTACTATCAAAATGAATAGGTCCTTTACATGAGCGCAATTTCTTGTTAACGTTTAACAAGACAAACAAAAAAATTATTGAAATGTTTAACGAAATAAATAAACTACATTAACAAATAATAAAATTAAACTTTATTTTCAATCTTAAAATTTATAATGACTATATTAAAATAATTATTCTAAATCTAAAATTTTGAATTATTACATGAGTAAGTATGAAATTATTAAAATATCACTGGCATGAGCTAATTTTTTTTTTTTTTATTTTACCTTACAATGTTTTAAAGTTCTTATCATAGTTATAATAGTGATCTTAGGAATATAAAGTTAATACTGGCGTTTGATTACCACGTGTCAATAGGAATGGACAATTGACTCCGCTGGTTAACATTTCTAACCATGACATATAGAATGGAGCTGATATTGCTTCCTAAAATGCAGAGAAATTATTAAATATTTTATATAAAACTTTGATTTTAAATTTAATAAAATTTTCACCTTTCTTGGCATTGGAAGTGACATTACAATAAGGGCAGCTTCTTTTGAATGTTTTACAACTAACTCATGAATTCTCAGTTGTCTATTCGTTTTTTCAGCTAAACCTTCTACTTCTGTTTCTGAAATGAAACATTCTGGATAATTTCGATCTTGAAAGCCTTTTAGTAACTTTTCATGACTTTTAACTGTTTGAGGTGATGGCATATCAGTTACACCTTGTAACATTGTTAAAGAACTATAATTAATTCGGAATTTTGAAAGTAAAGCAGCCATACTAAAAATTAAATAAGCATAAAATGAAACTTGTTCTGGTTAAACAGGGTAGGTATTATAAAAATTACTTCTTTTCTTCTTGTTCTTGATCTAAAATTTTATTTGTTAAGGCAAATACACGAAGTTTACAATTTTGCCATGTACTTCTTTGTGAAATTATGTAGGGTAGTAGCATAGTTAAGCCTCCATCATCATATAGCCACCATACATCAATTGTACTTTTTGGTTCCTGTTTTTTAGTAAAAACAGTTAAAGCGTCCATAACTTTTTTGGGTACTTCAGAGCCACCACGTGTTGCATATAAAATTTCTACATCGCATTTGGGAATTTTCGGTGGTAGTTTTGGTTTTAAACCTGATTGATTATTTGATATTGTTGAAGATGAACTAATCATTCCAGCAATATTAAGATTTGAATCAACATGGAAAATTTCTGAAGTTCTTGGTACATTCAAGGCAGGTGCTGAAACGTTTTCTATTGAATCACTAAAAGCTGGATTTGTAAATGCACCATTTGGATAAGATATTTTTGGTTCAATATATTGCTGTAAGTCTGAAAAATCTATTCCATTGGGTAATCGAAGAATAGCTACTGCCATTCTTAAAGAGAATGCATGGCTAAAATGTCAAATTAAAGTGGTTAGTAAATTACAATAATAAATTATCAAAGTGGTTCGCTTACTATAAAACATTAAAATAGGATGAAACTTCTTCTTTAGGACAAGTTTGCCAGTGAGACTTGTATCCCATTAAAATTATATTCGGAGCCAATTTTCCAAATCCAGTAGCCTTGATGAGAGCATTAGAACCATCTTCGAAAGAATAACCATCCATTACATTATAAAAAGCTTTAATTTTTCTGGCTGCTAAATATTGTCTTCCATCTTGTAAAAGTGCTTGTCGTTTTTTGTAGCCAATTCTTGTCTGTTTGAATAAGTTTAGTAATTTTATTAAACTGTTCTAGCTACATATTGTTCACAGGTATGAGATTTTAGAATACTTACGGGCAGTATATTTCCAGTTATCATCAACGAATTATGTTTTGTGATTAAATGTGCCACATCAATTAGTGGTGGTCTAATTGTAGGATCCCCTGCTAAAACTAAAATGTTAGGATGATAATTTTTAACATGCTCCTCAACCGATTGAAGTTTCTGAGCTGCTGATAAGGCGCTTTTGAACATTTGGGCTTGTGTTGTCGATCCCCAATTCACATCTAAACAAATATCAGAAATTTAATTTTTTAATTATCAATAAATGACGAAATTTACTTGGCTTTCGATACACAACGACCAGATATAAAGCGAATATAACCACAAATGTAATAATGGCTGCAATATAATTGATAGTGAACATGATGGCAACACACAAGAAAAATCCTGTTAAACTCAACCATTTATTATAGTACTAAAAATAAATGATTTTGTAAAATTTTCAAAGTCAAAGTAAAACGCATTTACTTTAAATGTTGGACGCCATCCTAAAGGTTTGATAAAAGCTGCATGGAATGTACAGAAATTGATAAGCGCATATGAAGCTAAATAAAATGTTGATATTAAAGGTGCAATCACGTTAATTTCACCAATTAAAAGAAAAGCTGCAGAAATTAAGAAAACAAGAACATAGCCACGGAATGGCTCTCCATGTTTTCCGTAAGGTTTTGAGAAAAAGATGAATCCTGGATAAATTTCATCCACCCCTAGTGCTTGAATTAAACGTGGTACCGATAAAAGATTTGTTAATGCTGTGCTAAGTGTGGCTGCAAAACATCCAGCATAAATTAGTGGGCCCCAAGCTGACATAAGTTGCATTACTGAATATGAATTTTGTAAACCAAATTCACATGTCTATACAAATAAAATTATTCTTACTAAATTAAACATTATATAATAAAATTTATTTGAAAAAAAAATTATTAACAGCAAGAACTAACATTGTTTTTAGCACATTCGAAATCCCATGTCCATTCACCATTTACCAAAGATACTTCACTTGCAATACCACTTGCATCACGAAGAGCAGCACCACCAGCGAATACAACAAAAACTGCATAACTTGTCATCGAAATTAATAGAGCTAACATTGTTCCTTTTGGAATAGCTTCTGCAGGATTTTTAAGATCACCAGAAATATTAGCACCAGCTTGAATTCCAGTTACACTTGGAAAGAATATTGCGAAAACAGTAAAGAAATTTTGATTTAATCCTTCACTAAAACGATAATCTGCAAACAGATTTTCTTCTAAAACTCGGGCTAAAATAATATAAGAAGTAAAAACAGTTTTTAATAATTTAATTGTACACGTATTATAAACTATATGAAAATTTTTAAATATATTTACCTGAAAATCCAGTAAATCCTTTAGAAATTTTTTCTACATCACCCATCGGACCCATAGCACATCCGACAAGAAATGCTACAATAGCTATTATTATTGTTGCAACTAAGAAATTTTGTGCTTTTGATTCCCAATCCATTCCAACACAACAAATAAGTACTAAAAGTAAAATTGTTACTGTTCCAACAATACGAACATCATTAAGTCCACCATCAACAATTTTAAGTCCATTTGATTCTATTGAAAGTAGAAACGTATAATATTAAATTTATATAATTCATTATCATAAATACTTTACAACATACTTAAAAGATCATTTAATGAATCACAAAAACCAATTGTATTCATTGATGCAGCAACAGCATTCGCAAATGCAAATACAACTCCAATTGATGCACCAAATTCTGGACCTAATGATCTTGATATTATAAAATAAACACCTCCACCTTTTACTTCACCATTTGTACTTATTGCTGATAGTGATAAAGTTGTAATAACACAAACTACTGTCGATATTCCAATAATTATTAAACTTTGTATAATACCAGATTGTGCTACAACCCAACTGAGACGTAAAAAAAGCATTACACCCCATATATTTAATAAACATGGTACCATAACACCATTAATCCAACCCAATTTAATATGTCCACCATGTCCCTGTCCTTTTTCTTCATCTTGAGCTGCACCATCCTAAAAATTAAAAGCAAAAATATTTGATGTATAAGTAAGTATTTTTGATTTTAAGTTAGAATATATAAGTTTGAACTATGAAAAAGTATGCTATGAGTAGCTATTTTAATTTTTAAAACAAATTTCAAGAGTAGAGTTGGAAATATTGCACACTTGGATATATAACGAAATTGCAAGTTATACAATTCAAATTCTCATTATACGAATTCAATTCATTTTATTCACATGTTGCATTCAATACACTACTTATTGACATTTTAATTAATTTGTATGACAGATTTTGATTTTGGTTCGATCTAGTTCTCAAACTAGTTTAATTTAGATATGGATCTGTTCGATTCGTTTCAATTAACCTAGTTTTATCTGGATTTTAATTTAATTTTAGCATAATGAAAGAACATATTGTAATTAAGAAATTGTTTAACTGTTATACATAATTATTATATAATTATGTATATTCATTATATATATAACATATATATAATGACATTATATATAACATATAACATATGACATTATATATAACATATATAATGAATTTATATTAATTTTTTTTTGTTTTTTTGCAATTTTTCTTATAATTGTTTGTATTATTTGTCTGATAAAGAATATTTTAAGTTTTACGTGCAATTGTACAAAGAAAGCAAAAAGAAAGCAGCCTCTTTACACAAAAAATTATTGAATTAATTTCAATATTATGTAAATACCTAAATAATTTAAAAAAAAAAAAAAACAAAATAAATATACCATTAATTTTATTAATTATTATTTTTAGTAATTGCTTATTTAGATTATTTAGAACACATAATATAATCTCTCATTGACTTAAAAAACCAACAACAACAAAAAACTCAATTGTATAACACTTAAAATTTTATCGATTTAATGTTAATTACCAATAAGTATAACACTTATCATTGTTTAATTGAAACCCAAATACAATAGGAATAGAGAAATTGAAAAAGTACTCATATGATTGAATTTCTGAAGTATTCATACCTATGAATGTATGTATGTACATTAATTTAAAGAAAAACAGAAAAAAATTGTTATATAATATTTGTATAAAATAATCAGAATATATTATGGTATAATAGAATAGGTAAATTTTCCAAAAAAAAAAAAACTATACAGAGATTATCATAATATGATAATAAATTGTTAATTAGAAAATTATTTTTTGGTATACATATTGTTATACCATAAGTGACACTTGTTGTATATTGTAATCATTATAAGCACAATAAGTACCATAATATCCATTAAGTATAGGTATAGGTACTCATTTTATGTGATTGAATACATTCGTTTTGATATTAATAAAAAAATATAAGTGTGTTATGAATGGCGTTAAGTTCAATTAATTATACAATTAAATAAAAAAGCTATTATAACTGGAAGCTACACTATTTTTTCTTGAATAAATATCGTAAAAAAACTATTTTATTAAATAAATAATTTTTTAATTCAACAAACATTTATTGCAAACAAAAAATTCAGGTTAATTTGTAAGCTTCATATCAGATTTATAGACTATAGTATAATAGTATATTTAATAGTATAAAAGATGAAAAAATTATATAACAATAAAAAATATTATAACAGTAAAATGATGAAAAATATTTTTTAAATTTAAAAATTTTCAATTATTAGGAATGTTTTGTCATTATTTAAAAATTAAAATTAGACCTTTAGAATTGATTAAAATTAGTAAAATTACAGCTCCAAAAATTATTTACAATATTTATTATTATATTTTACTAACTTTTTTAACATTTCAATTTTAACATTTATTTGATTTTAAGTGATTGTAGAATACTGGGTGTTTCGCGTAAAATGGCAAATAATTTCATGGATGATTCTTTTAATAATTGTTAGCAAAAAATTGTATGAATCGGCAGATTCAGATATTGTCGTTTTTGAGCTAAATGTACTAAATTTCTACTGCATATAAATAAATGCTTACATATCTTCGGAATTGAGCGACCTAGAGTAACTCTTATCGGGGGAGCTTGTTTTACAGGCGATTGATTGTTCTTCATTTTCAGTCTCATACAATTAATATAATTTGAGCCATAGTTTTCAAGATAAGGCTTCAAAATCAAAGGCATATCAAAGTGAGAATTATGCTTTTTTTTTTTTGGAATTTTCCTTAAAAACTCAAAAATTTTTGTTAAAAAAAATGTTTTTGTTTTTATTAAATGTTTGAAATTTTAAAATTTTATATAATATATTTGTTAGTTGTATTCTATGTCATCCTTGGAAAATATACAAATACTGAAATTTAAATTCTTCCTCAATTTTTGAAATATAAATTTGAAGTTGTTTGTTATTTTTACTATTTGGTATCATAAATTTAATCTTATACATACTACTTCAATGTATATAATGTGTATATATAATATATACCTACATAATATATATAATTTATTTATTTGCTTTATTTTATTAATCGAAAATGAGCAGCTAATCTTACCTTACATTTTTCTTCCTTATAAATAGATAAAGAAAATAATTTTGATCGAGTTCATCAACAAAAACAATTTTAAATGCAATATTGCAACAATAATAATGATAAGCTATAATCAGGTGCAAAAAAAACAAGCATAAAAATATCTTCGGAAATCAGTAACTATATAATATGTAGGTACTTGCATAATTAATCCTTTCAAGTACAATGATATAGAAATATTTCCGTCTGGTATTAATTTTATCATTACCAAATAATCAGAGAAAATATTATTTTGGCTTATTTCCAATTAGCCAATCAATTAAATTTCTTTAATTTTTTCAAGATATTAAATTGTATATTTGGTAATTATTTAAACTGAAAATAAAAACCTTGATATATTAATTAATAAATTTCCCAAAGATATAATTATGACCATACTTGCTATAGTATTCAAAATCTATGTACTTTAAAAATTTTAAGATTTTTATACCCGTACGAACGTAACGCTAAGAAATAATGCTCTTTCATATAGACTCAAGTGTATGTTTTTGATCAGCGTCGAATTCTGAGTTGATTTAGCTTTGTCTGTTCTTCCGTCCGTCCGAGCGATAACTCAAAAACTAATTAAGCTAAGTTCACCAAATTTTCACAAATGATTTATTGTAGTAAGTGTCTGATTTAAATGATTTATCTTTTAAAATGATTTATTGTATTGGGGTACTGGTTCGGGTAGCTGCCATGCAACTTCAAAATTTATTTAGCTATATCTCAAAAACCATGCAAGCTATGGTATTAAAATTTCATACAAACAATATAGTAGTAGGGCCGATGTGTTTGATAAAATTCGTTAAAATTGCTTGGCTCTTTTTGGTAGCTGCCATACAACTTCAATAGTAGTCTGGCACACACAGTATTTTGAAAAACAAATAGTACTAAAATTTTGTATAAATTAATATAGTAATATGGAAACTTAAAATCATAGTCTGTCCCATAGTCAGTTATGGCATCTTTATTCGCACATAGGATAACAAATTCGTACGGGTATCACAGAGTTAACAAGGTCAACTCTATCTTTTCTCGTTTCGTAGTTAAATTTAATTATTTTATAATTTTTGAAATTATTTTTGAATTCAAATGAATTATTTTAAAATAATTTAATATTGAATATAATTATTAAAAATTTGATATGAATTTTTTAGTCTTTAAAGAAACCCAATTTTGTTATCAGAAATATCAGATTTTTTAAAATAAACTCAATAATTTGTAGGTATTGCCGCCTATAATTGATAATTTTGACCTTCGATCTCAATACAAAATTTCATAATAGTAACAAGAATAATATTGAATTAAATACATAAAAAATTTACCATATAAATTAGTTAAACAACAAATTTTTGCTTTTATCATATTCATGCGTCAAACTGCAGTTGTATAATTTGGTCAAATTATTATAATACGAACCGGACCATGCTATATAGTTCTCTTAAATATCTAGTAGAATTTTAAAATTTAAAATTTCGTAGAATAATATTTTTTTTATATACAACTTATACTGTTATATTTTACTGTTTTCTGAGTATAATAAATTGCTACATATATAATAATAAAATTATATTAATTATATTAAATGTTTGGTAATATTAATAAGGACATAATATTAATACGCATAGACTTGTATTAGTCATTTATGATTCCACTATAATACTCATATCTAACACATTTATAATTGTGTGGAATAAAAAATATTTTTATAAAAATTATGCTTTAATATTAAATAACATAATAAAATTAATATATACATATATACATAGAGTCTGTACCTTGGTTACACATAATGACCGTAAACAAAACGTCACAAATTCAATGATTAAATAAGTTCAAACTAAATAAATTAACAAAACAAACTGCATACATTCTGTTATACAAGTATAGTAAGGTATAAAGAATAATACCTGTTTTAAGATAAGATATGTGAATTAAAAAAAAAAAATTTAATTACAATCATGTTATACGTATTATGAGTCACCGGCCGACTAATCGATCAGAATATTATTAATATTTTAGACAACTATATGTATGAAGACGCGCGTTAATCTTCATTGTATATATAGAATATATAGATTATACCCCCGGTATGATCAGAAATTTTTGAGTTATAACTAGTATATTCGGGTGTTAATCAATGATATTTATGCAATAATGAAAATATTAAGGGTTAAAATGATATTAAAAGAAAACAAAAATATTATTTTTTTTTTCAAATTATATTCACTTATAATTTTAAAGACGATTAGCACTTTTATCATTTATCATTTATGAGAATTACTTATATATAGAAAAGGTGCTAATATATGAGATATTTTCAATGATTTGACAACAACTTAAAATTTTATATTATACTTATATATGCATAAATAATTTAAATATGATGTTGTTTTTTCCTAGAAAAAAAATCTTATTAATTTTAATAAAAATTATTTAATAATCATTTTATGATTAATTTAAAAAAATATATATATATTTAAGGGTAATTAATATGAATGCGCTAAATATGAATATATTCGAAATGCATGATGTGCTTACGACACAATTCCGACATAAAATAAGAAAACGTAGATGTAATTTAATTTGGAGGTGGGTTGTGATTGTAGATTTTCCAATATGTAGTGAAAATTTCAACTTTAATGCTAGTATTTGCTAACAAACATACAGGAATATCGCATATGCAAATGGGCAGTGTAGACTCTTAATTATTAACACAAAAAAAATTTGTTATACTTGTTTAAATAAAATATTTGTTGTTTTAGTTTGAAAGTGACCTAAGTCTATAGTTCAATTAAAAATTATAAATTTGAGTTTACTAGTTAATCAAAAATTCAGTTGACATGGTCGGTTAATTTATTCGACAACTATAATGTTATTCGAAATTAATTCGAAATATGGACATTATAAGTAATTGCTTTCGAAATAAAATAATTTTGAAATTGCAAACGAACTTAGGTCACTTGCAAAATAAACTATCAATTTATACATAAATAATAAAAAAAGTTGCGCCATAATGTATGCAATATTAAAATTTCAAAACTTTAAGATGTAAGCTATTTATTTAAACGATATTTAGAACGATATTAATTGTGTTAATTAAAACCATTTGTTTTTTGAATAATGTTATTAGAAATAGCTTAAATATTAATAATTTTTCATAAATTACCAGTAATCTGATAAGGAAATTTATATTTCAATTTCTATATCATTATTCATGGAATACTTAATAATATGTTGTATAAAAGTATACATATAGAAACCTAAGCAGTTTTCTAATAACTTAATGATAGATAAAGTATTTTTAATAATGCAATTTATTACCAACCCAAATTGATTAATTTTTAAAATAAATATTTTATTCTTATTCTTTCAATATGTACAGATTTTTTGGTTCTGATTACTAGGCACCTATCAGTTGAATGTTAATTACAAATGTTATAAAATTTTTATATTTTTTTGGAATTTTATGAAAATTACCATAAATGAAAAGGAAAACCTGAAAATTTTTTGGTTTCAACCATCAACATATTTGAAGAAATCAACATTTAGTTAAAATTTAAAGCTGTTCCATAAAATCATGTGGTTTCAAACGTAAATAATTTCTGTTAGTAATATCGGACGTACAAATTTTCTGTATAATCTTACTTTTAATTATAATTTCATATCGCTATACCAGGATTATAAAGTTTTTTGAAATAAAAATAACACCAATATTATGTACATATGTTTAAACAGTAAGTAAAAAATATATTATTATTAATTTCATTAATGTGGGACAGGATTAAGAATCTTAACAAATCCAATATAGTATAAAAAATTCCATTGATTTTCATTCAATAAAAGACGCTTTTAATTTTGTAAATATTTACCGGAAATTTGTTATTTATAATGTTATATACATTAAATATATTAGTTTGTATATGTATAATTCAATTATAGTACATTAAAATTTACTATATAAGTGTTCTTAGTTTTAAGTACTAATTTCCCCTATGCATGAATTACATATATAAAAATATAAATATTTTATTGGAAAAGCCATAAAATGTATAGAAAGATTAAAAATTATTGTATACAAAAAAAAAGATTATTGAATAAATTTTATTACAGTTGACACGTTTTACGTTAACGTAAGTGTGTTACAAATTGCTTATACGAATAGTATATAGATCAATAAGTATTTTTTGATAAAATTTAATTAGATTAATTAAATTATTCTAAATTATGAAGAATCTATATGATATAAGTCTATATATATATTTGATAGCCATATTATTTATTACCAAATACCTTAACCTATTGATATGATCCTTATTTTTAAGTAAAATTATTTGACTAAAAGATTATAAAATAGGGATTTAATTTTTAAATTTACGTCTGGGCAGGGTAATTTTTGATTAATTTTTCGAATTCTTTCGAGAATTCTAATTCTTGAATATATTTTTGATTTGAATTAAAAGGATTTGAAATCCGTTTATGATATACGATAAGTATAAGATTATTTCTTGGTTTGGAATGAAGATGATATTTACTTTACTAATATGATATTCAGCTGACATGTGTACACCACTTTACAGATATGCAAATCTGACATTTGGGACATAAATGTGATAAAAGCTGTTTTGAAAGTCAGGAAACAATATTGAAAAAATTAAATATGAAATTCACCTTTTAGTAATTTTAATAATAAAGAATTATTATACCTCAGATGGTTCGAGTCCCGAATAATATTTTGAGAATAATATTAACAATCACTAATTCTCGAGCATGAATAATTTATGCAATAGTGACATCATAATCTGCTTAAAACTAAAATTTAATACAAATTAAAGTTTCATCTTACTTTTTTCTAAAATCAACTTGGTATTTATAATTAATTACTATTAAAAATCATTTAATTTTTTAATTTTTTTATTTTCCTGTTTCTTAACAAATTAAATTTTGAATTTAATTTTTTTAACAACACAATTTCTGCTGTTGAATTGCAGATTAGTTTATGTTTAGATAAAACCGGCAAAGCTTTACTCATGTACTGTAATGTGCACTTGTATAACATTTAATATAGGTACACAAATGTACACAAATACACAATACGTAACATACACAAATGTACGTAACATACACAAATGTACATGCAAATCTCACATTAGTAAAAATTCTATAATATTTTACGCATAAGTATATATACATATTTTTATAATTTTTTAAATTATGTATAACAGTTTAAGAATAACTTAGGTATTTTTTTAATTGTTATGTTAATTTTTTTTAAAATTCTATTTTACATAATTATTTATTCATAATTTACATATTTATATTTACACTATAATTGTTATAAAATTCACTTTCTATTGCAAAATTTTATGACCTAGTTAAAAACGTATAAAAGTTAAAAAAAAGAACTTTATAAATATTAATATTATTTAGAATTTTTTTTTTTTTGTAAAAATAAAAAAGCGTGACTTAAAATAAACTTAGTTTTAAATGAAGATTCTAAAATTATATGCATACAAGATTAATGCAAGTAAAATTTTTAACCTCACATATTAGAAAAATGATCGAGCTCTATCGGGATCTTGTATACAAGTTTTGATTTATTTTTTTGATATGATTAAAACTGTTATACTCTAATTCAAATTTAAACTATTTATAACAGAATATAGAAAATAATGGGATTATATTGTTTCTTATATAACAGTTATAATAAACCAGTAAAAATACTAACAGTATGTATATTAGATTTTCTTTTCTGCATATATATATATATGTACTCGTACGTTTGCCCAATTTGAATGTCAAAATATACTCTATCAATTCTTGTATACTTATACATATTTGTATATACTTACAGTTTGATCTTCAGCTTCACCATGCAATTCACCCATTGACGGTCTTTTATGCCATCTTTTTGATTGTCTATAATATTCTAATCGCGGCAAAGCTTCTCTGAAAATAACCAAAAAAACAAAAATATATATAAAATTTTTAATTTTTCGTAATTAATGTATGTATTTGTATAACAAACTATGATAATTTTATTATGTTTATCTAACTATATAGATATTATCAGAATTATCATAATGAGAGAGAGGGACTTGAAATACATTTAAACATATCAGTTTTTTTTAATAATTATCTATTAATTTACAATGGAGCTATAGGTAATAGCAAAGCTCATAATTTAATTAAATATACATATATTTTTCATGTGACAATATATCCATAGTATGTACATATGTGTTACATATGTTTTAGAGAAATAATTGTGTTAATTGTTTTGTTTAATTGGAATTTGTTAACAAAATCATATACATAAATTCAATATATAAAATGTTATACATATTTGCTGTAATGTTCTAATTAAATTAAGAATAACTTAAATTAATTCAAATTTGTTATATTTTAAAATATTTGTAATAGATTGACGTATACTCGTATAACACACATACATATTTATAAAATTTATTAATAATTAATAAAATTAAATGTGTAGCTAGGCAAGCAATTAATAATAATATCGTAATTACAAACATACATATGTACATATATAATAAATAAGTAAATTTGAATATTTTAAAATATAATAAGAGTAATTTAATGTACACATACATTATAATCAATATTTTGTGAATAATTTTTAATTTTTATTTATTAAAGAAAAATATAATTTCCTTTTATTCGAAATTAAACATACGCACTTAATCAAAATTAATTTTCACTTTCTTTTCTTTATTTTCGGGAATTTATTTGAAAACCTGAAAAATTTCAAAAATATTTTTTTTTTTCCAAAACAAAGAAATTAATATTGTTTATCATATACTTTACTGATCGTATATTGCTAACAATCATTGAGGTTAGGTATTGCAACGTATCGTTCGTGATAGAAAAACGTAAGTACTAAATCACTTTGAGAAAGATGTCGGTTCGTTTATCTGTGCTTCTGGTTTAGTACGTGCACTCGTTCATCTCAATTTCGGCTAAATCGACTTTAATTAAAATTTATATCTATGAGTTTAACTTTTGTCATGTAACGGATTGATCATCTTTTTGGATATAAACAAATCTCAGAAATTATGGATCTTTTGCTATACGAATCGAATTCACGTTGTACCATTAACATAGAGAAATAATCGACTAAATTCCCTGTAATTTATAACTCTGCTTTTTAAAACAATGAAATAACAATTTTTTCGCCATTATCAGGTTCCGAAAATCAAATTTTCACTGGGAATCAATTATGTCAGGAAATAATTAACTTATGTCAGAAAACTTTTAAATTTTTCCATTTACAATTTTCTTTTTGTTTTACATTTTCTATCAATCCCTGTTTACGTATACAGGGATTAAGGTGTGCAAATATAAAATTTTTTAACCGTGGTACCTACGTTGTATAAATTATTTATTTCAATTTCATTTGAAATTTTAATTTTATAACATTATTATTATTGTTATCACAATTCCGCTTATAAATTCATAAAGTACGTACAATAATAAAAAAAGGGTACAATAATAAAATAAGAATAAAAGATACTAAATTTTTTATTACCTTAAAATTTATGCTACAATTCTAGGTGCCATGTACAAACATACCAATACAAAATATTTAAAAAATTCCAAACTTAAAAGTGATAATAATATTACAATAATAAATGTTGTTGTTTTGAGCGCGTTTTACTTGCAATAATAACACAAAAAAAAAAAAATTCCATAATAAATTAAAATACGTAGGTTGTTATATTTGAAATCGTCTAAATAAAATTATAGTCCAGGTCTAATTAAACATTAATTTTTAATCGATTAGGAAAAATAAAAGTTCAATTTGTAAAATCAAAATAAAAAAAAAATACTAAGAGTAACAAGTAAAAACGTTTCAGTCGGTATAAACCGACTGAATAATACCCTGCACTTTGACAATCTGAGTTTAAAAAATTGTTTTTGAAATATTTAGAAATAACTTTGATTGCTAAATGGAAGTTGCTTGAACCTGTCAAACCACTTAATGGAAACTTCACGGATATTATGTCTGACCACTTACAACACACGACTACCAAGTTTCATGAATCTAGCTTTAATATTTTTCCAAACATTTAAGATTAACTTTCGGAGTTGTATGGTAGCTACCCGAACCATTACAGCCAGTCCATTAGAATTTTCAGAACATATGTGAATTGAAATCGGACACACTTTTGCAAAATTTAATATTAATATCTCTATTACTTTTTGAAATATTTAAAAAAACATCTTTGAGTTGTATGACAATTACCCGAACCCGTTGTCCGTGGTCCAATTACAATAGCAGCCGTCGTCGGCACTTAAGAGAAAACTTGTGAAAGTTTCGTGTCGATTGCATTATTCGTTTTTGAGTTATAGTGCGATCGAACGGACGGACATGTCTAAATCGACGCAGAATTTTACGGTGAGCAAGAATATATATATATATATCCATACCGGAGACGCCTCCTTCAAGTGGTTAAAAACTCCATACCAGAATGAATATACCCTCCACGAAATGCAGGGTATAAAAAGAAACGATAAAGGTTATCAAACTTTTATTATTCGAAAAAAAAAAATTCATAAATCATAAATTTAAGATTAAAAAGAAGGGATCCCGGGAAATAGCTATTTCTATAATTATAATAATGCAATATTATTGAACTTTATAAGCAATTTACGAAATGTTATTAAATTCGTCCGCGCAATTTTAATCAAAAATTTTTTTTTCTTTTGGTGAAAGTTAAAGTTTACATGTACTTAAATTTTTACATAAATATTTATGAGAGTCGAAATAAGAATTTATTAAGTTTAAAATAATAAAGATATACGAGAATTAAGTGATTAAAAAAAAATCTAATGTGATCAGCACATAACCGGCAGCACATATAAGCCTATTTTTTTGTTTGGCGAAAGTTTAGCAAGTTTCAAAAAATTGAAACGGCTCTTTCTAATTTTAAGGACCTCACTCAACTTTTACTTAACATACCTAGAAAAATTGAAATTTGGCTCTTAAAAGTAGTTAACTTTATGCTGTTCGAATTATCCTCAGTTAATAGCTGCAGCAGATTGAGCTTTCAAGAAATTTCATCAGTTATTGGTTTCTAAAAATTAAGTTGTTAATTTTTTTAACACCCTGAATTAAAATTTTAAATTTCAAAGAAATTATGGTAAATTAATTCTTTTTGTATGCGCAAAAATTTGAATTCGGCCCGTCGAAAAATTCCAGTTGCTCACATCTAATTCCCTGGTATAAAGCTAGGAAAAAAAATCGGACTGTATTAAAGGTCCAGGTCCAAAGATCTAACATACAAAACCCGAAAGTCGATCAAACTTTGATATAACCAATGCAAACTTAACAAATTGAGATGCAAATTCGCACAGACAGAATAACAAATTGACAAACAGGCAGACATCTCTCCGAAAATATAGTTTATTTACGCTTCCTTACCAAGAAGAGAGAAGTGCATATTCGTCAAAAACTCGACATGCGAAATTTCGTGCCATCACATAACCTCTCTTATTGTATATAATGCGATTCGGTTAAAAATATATTTGTTCATATTTGTACTCAAATTATTAAAAAGTGCAAATTTGTAGATACGAAAAATAAATTTATAGAATGGGTGTAGGACGGCAGATTTTGTAGCTTTTTTAACTGATTTACAACACAAAGCATGTCATTTCTATAAGGGTTATAATTATGAATATAAGAAAATAAATTTGCTTTTTATAGATTAAATGTTACTTTTCCTGATTTTTCATAAATTATCGCAATTACAATATTGGTTTTTGTTTAGAGGCAACATCTTTTTAAAAATACTGTCCAAATCAATAACATATATACCGAAATTATCCAAATTAACACATTTTCCCCCAAAATTATTCTTAAAAGAGTAAATATTTTTTCTATTACGCATCGATATCCCAATATACTATAAAATAAAGTGTTAAAATTTAACTTTAACTGAATAAATTTTAGAGTTAAAGTGTAAATTAGACAAAAATTAAGTTAAATTATTTGAATTGTTCAAAAAAGTTAGAATAAATTCGTTTTATACAAGTTTAAAACCTCAATAGCTATAATAAATTTTAAGTGATAATTTGTTTAGAAAAGAATGAATCCATTATGATGGCACGTACTTTTTTGAACAATGGTTTATTTTTGACCTAAGAGAAATTAAATTTCACAAAATTTAACCTTAATAGACGGTTATTTTAAGTATAACGTATTTAAGCTTTCAAGATTTTTTAATTGATCGTCTACTAATTACAGAAATCGTTTAGAACGTATATTTATTTATCGTAATTTATAGCAAAAATCCTTTTATTGTTTATTATATTTTGATGAATTTTAGTATAAGAATATTGTTTGTGAGTATAATTTTAAACTTTTACGCTTCAGGTCTATACGAGTATTGCTACATAACTCTAACCTTGACTGAGCATACTCAAATAGCAAAATATTATTTCTATACTAAATTTTTGCTAATACGAAAGTATGTCACAACTTTTATTTAATTGCAATCATACCTACATAATATCTATTTCTTTATAGTATGATTTATATTTATACAGGCCAAGGAAGTTCTGGGAGATTATGACCAGAAGCGTTTTAAGAATTGGAATGGGCAAGAATCAGGTGAGAATCCTCACCAGGCTTTTGTCGGGTCACTATAGACTTAGGGGGCACTTCGGCAAGCTGGGCCTGGAAAGTGAGGATGCATGTAGGTTCTGTGAGAAAAACAGGGAGAATTCAGTACAACTTCGGTGGTACAACTCTCGCTTGGACGAGAGAAAAAATTACTGGGGGGCTTTACCCTAACAGCGCTCCTCCGCGCCCCTCCGGCTGCTCGAATACATCAGGGTGTCGAATCTCGAGTGGGTGCTGTAGAACCATGCCTTGCACTTAGTGTGGTAGGGGGGGGGGGGGGCACAATAGATTCTTTACGTGG